CAAAGTAACTGCCAACTGAATATGTGTCGCCGTTTGATGTCTATGTCTGGACCGCTGCGTAAAAAGGAGGGTTTCTGCCCCATTACTTCTCTTCTTACTTCTATAAGAATAAAACACGGTGGACGGAGATCTCTTTTTCTCCCCCTCTTCTCCCCTCTGCAGTCTAGCAGCTGATCTCAGAGCACGCTCCCCTCTCCTGTATGGCGTTATATTTGTGCCTCTATCCTGAGCACGCAATGAAACATGTTGAGCATAGAAAATGCGATTGAGCGCGCACTTGAACATTTTTGAGCACAGAGAAATATATTTTCTCTCGTAAAACTCATGCTCCGTGCGCAAGCAGACCGCTGCACACGCTCTCTCTCCCCCGCTCGCTCGACCTCTCCAGCCTGCGCGCGCTCAGCTTTGCCTGCGCGCGCTCAGCTTTGCCTGCGCGCGCTCAGCTTTGCCTGGGCTCGCTCAGCTTTGCCTGCGCGCGCTCAGCTTTGCCTGCGCGCGCTCAAGTTGTCACAGCGTTACAAATGTGCCACAAAACCAACCAATCGGAGAACTCGAGAAGGTCAATTCTGATTGGCTGGTCCAGCGCCATGTAGAGAGAAGAGTTGCTTCAGCGGAAGTCCAAAATGCTTGATCGTCACGTGGTTCAGAGAGACTCAGAAAGTTCCCGGAAGTTCGTGGCGGGCCATTTGAATCACGATTTGAATGCATTAATAACAGGCTATAAATGCAATTTTTGGTAATTAGTGGTCAATAAAGGTTTTGATTTGCAATATTTATACAACATATCGATATGTGTATGTAGTTACATCAATGTGTGTTTTTTTTTTAAATGTGCTAATATTTGAGGATTAAGATAAAATAAGAAGTAGCCTACTTTATTGATACCAATTGGGGAAATGTTTACGCTGCAGCAGCAAAAGACAAGGAGGCATTGTACATTAGACAGTTAAGAGACTATAATTAAACAATCGAAAATGTGAACATCTTAAATAGAAATAACATAGCATTACAACGTAGAAAATATACATAGTGTGAACAGCTATCTTACCTGTTAACATACATGTTAGGCTAACGTTGCCTTGGTTAAAGAGCCTGTTGTTTATTGCTTTGAATTCTTTAAAACAAATATTATCTTCTTAAACCTGTATGGTAGTCAGGAGCATCACATCCTAATGTTTATTGATATATTTAGAGGGTGGGAAGGAAGGTTTCAAAATTCTGATTAGATACATTTCTACCATTTCCTTAATTCATGGTGGTTTCAGTAATCCTATGGTAATTGAGGACACAAGTAATCTAAAGTACTAATGTAATCTTTATGACTTTCAGAAAGGACAGGAGACCCACAGGTGCCTATATCAATGATTGTCAACTGACAGCACAATGAGTCAAAGGACTAGCAGCAGCAGCATGATGATGATGTTAAATGTGTTGTTTTTGGAACATCCATTGTAAATAAATGGAATTCAATAAACATTGAATAGCATATCATGCAGTTTGTCTGTGCCTTTTCCTCCGTGTTGTCCGGCATATCGTCTCACCCATGGTTTGCTGTGCTGCCTAGGGATGCTCCAAGCGCTCAGAGAAAGGAGTACACATGCAAAGTTTCCCCACTGACACAGAGAGGAGGAAAGAATGGCTGGCTCAAGTCAGCAGGAGCAATTTAACTATCACAAAAGACAACAACAGCAACAACATATGTGAGGTAATCACATTTTTCACAAAACGAAGACCACACCATTGGGAAGCTTAATGTCTGTTTAATCAAAATAAGGAACAGGGAGAGGCTTGCAAAACTCTGGGAGGTGAGACTCAGGTGCAGGGTGAGGGTCTCAGTGCAGGTCTTCAGGCTCCATTGAATCCCCCTGGGGTTCTTGTGCTGAGAGAGGGAGACAGGAGAAAGGGTTAGATACATCTAGCAACCTATAGGATGGGAAATTGCTGACCTATTTGAAACTTACCATGTGTTTTCACTCTCACTTAAGTCCCTCTCCCTTTGCCATCAATCCAAAATCAGCTGAGCTGCAACATAATACAGACAGGTAATAATCAACAGAATCACAAGGACATTATGGCTCTGCTAAAAACACTCACCCATAAGTTATGTTTTTGTTTACTGTTTAGAAGTCTCAAATATGCACTCTACATCCATATCAATAGCGATGTATCACACAAATAGCTCTCTTCCTTATTATTGTGTCACGTTAACTATATTATACTAGCTGGAACTCCAAAATGGATATCCTCATTTCTCCACCCACTACAATCACACGCCCCAATGTTATATTTAACTAATATGTAACTCCCTCCACCCCGGATAAAAGCACGTTAATAAGCCCCTTTTCTCTAATTCCACAACGTTGGAAGAAATAACATTAAGAGAACGGAATAATAGGCTGTTCATGGTTAACGTGTGTTGTTGCTAACTTTAGCCGGTATCCTAGCCTCATCTGTCCGGTTGAAAATTAACGCAAGCATATGCCCATTGTAGAACAGGAAACAGAAGTTGGTACAGGTTCTGGTCAACCCAACACTGTGATAGAGAGAGAAACATGTTTTGTCATTCTGCCACCTCTAATGCTTACAGCAAGTAATCAATACCTCAGAAGGGTTCATGTAGCTACATGTAGGCTACGGTTTGTTAGCGGTTTGCTTAAACTACCCCTATAGCTATGTTGCCGGCTAGCAAACTCAGGCATTGCAAACAATAACGTGATATCAGAAAACTAGAAATGTATAACTCACCTGACACTGTGGCGTGCTATTCTCTTCATTCGAGTCTGTCATGTCCTGTAAATGTCAACGATAGATGTGTAATAAGAACGTCAACAGCCTGATGGCAACCGAAAATCCCTCTCTCATCTCAGATAGAAGATATGATTGGAGACGACCAGCCAATCAGAATTGACCTTCTCGAGTTCTCCGATTGGTTGGTTTTGTGGCACATTTGTAACGCTGTGACAACTTGAGCGAGCGCAGGCAAAGCTGAGCGCGCACAGGCTGGAGAGGTCGAGCGAGCGGGGGAGAGAGAGCGCGTGCAGCGGTCTGCTTGCGCACGGAGCAGGAGTTTTATGAGAGAAAATATATTTATCTGTGCTCAAAACTGTTCAAGTGCGCGCTCAATAGCATTTTCTATGCTCAACATGTTTCATTGCGTGCTCAGGATAGAGGCACAAATATAACGCCATACTCCTGCAGGGGGGCGTGGTCAGCTGCAGCTCACAGAATCAGCACCCTGTAAAAACAGCGCTGGAAAGAGCAAATAGAGCGAAATGAGGCATGGCTAAAATGCAGGATTTTTGGTATTTTGAAAAAAAAACTATATTTATTTGGGTATGGCCCTACAATATATTGTTCAAATATAGCATGATAGGTGTCCTTTAAATGAGAAACTTTAATACATTATAACAGATGTGTTTAATACATGGACAAACTTTAAACAATGGCTAAATTATTAGTCCTATGTTTAAAAAACACAAAACAAAGGGCATATTTTGTATCACCTTTTTAAGTAAAACACCTCAGTTATAAATTGTATTTAAATGATGTGTGACATTTTAATTGCTAACTGGTATGGCCATGAAATGATTAAAAAAGGTACAAATAAAAGTATATATTTTTGTGTACATTTAAGCATTCAAGTGCTGCATGATCTGCTGCTAGTCTCCAAATGAGATTTTCTCAGGTGGTTCCTGAGTGTTTCCTGAGGTGTTGATGAGTCTCTAGGTCAACAATCACCAAAACACAAGTGGTACTCGAATCCACTCTGTGTTTAATTTGTGTATTGTGTTCTTCCTTGAGCCACTTTTCCAACGTTTATGACAATTAGGCCAGTAGTGTTTTCGTTATCCTGCTGACAGACAAACAATCCAACCCAAAACTCTCTAGGTGGAGGTTATGATCATCACCATGTGTGCCATTTATTGTATTTGTAATTAATCTTGAAGGCCCTCCTAATCTACTTATCACGCTGTATTTAACTTCACATAACCTCATTGACTAGTGGATCAATGTAATGTTAACATACACATAAAGTGTTGTAGGCAACTAGACTACTATTCTAATTGGAAAAATTAATTCACACTGCATGGTGTATCATGGTTTGGCTGTGCAGATATTTCCCAAGCCAATTGTATTTGTAATCTTTGTTGTGCAATGAGATGTCTATTATGAAACTTGTTAGGTATTGCAACCACTTCAGGAAACAAACTAAAAGTCGCTGAGAGGCTTAGGATTGAACCTTGTTGCCTTTTTTCTGACATGCTTTCAAAAATGAATGCTGCGATCTAAATTTTCACTTTCTTAATTAAATGATAATGGTCAACTTGTATAATAACGAGCACATACATATGATTTGAAGAATCCAACTTTCATCAGAGTTGGGGTCACACCCTACACTAACCTACTCCATAATTGATCACAAAATAATAATATTATAAACAAAGACCAAAACTAAAGTAGGAACAATCAAAACCCTTATAAAATGAACTACATACATCACCGCTTTCGGACTTTCAGGGCTGCTACAAGTATATTGAATGCAAATTAGTGAATGGTCCAAATGGAGGAAGTTTTTTCAAGTCTGGCTTTAGTCTAAAGGGCATTTCAAAATTGAGACAAGATTGCAATTTAGATCATAATTGTGATTACACATTTTAAGATGTTGTTTTTCGCCCACCCATAGATGAAGATGTCATGAACACAACATTACATTACTTGTTACTCAATACTGTGGACAATCCCCACAGGAGCAATTTGGGGTGAAGTGCCTTGCCCAGGGACACAATGACATACTGACTGCAGTGGGGTTTGAACCTGTGACCCCCTGATCCGAAAACACCAGCGCACTATTCCACTGCGCCACACGCCTCCCACAACCTTACTGCTTACATGCTGATGTTGTAGTTTGACCTTTAAGACACACCGTAGGATCAATTACATCTTAACGAAGCATCGACTCCTGCCTGACCTCATGTTTCTCTCTTCTCCACTCTCTTTAGGCTGTGGCTCCTCTCAGAGAGAAGATTCGTGATCTGGAACAAAGGTGAGTTTCCCTCTTTGATACACACATGTGCAAACACAAACACCTGCTCAAAGGTAATGAGAAAAATATATAAGACTTATGAAGCCTGAAATACTCGCATGTTTTCTATATTGTAGTACCAACTCAAATGGTCGGCCCTAATGACTAGAATTAGGACCCAATGTTATATGCATATTTTAATTATTACTTTAAATTGTTCTCCCCAAAACCATTTAATATTCATTCAAAGCTAAACTAGACCTCCCAGTGTGACTGCACCATCTAAAGGACATGAAATGAGCCTCTAAACGTCCATTATCAATAAGTTACAGCAGTTTACAGAGCATGAAAGAGAAGCAAGCTGTGCTGATTTGCATAGCTTTCCTCACCAGGCAATACAAAAATAGATTAGAAAGCAAGATTAGAAATATGTGACTTCAGGCTAGCAGGCTTTCTATGAATAACACCGACACTGTACGGACCGTTGCATTGCAGCTTCTAATGGTTATTATTTATTTTCCAAGACAAACCAATGGAACAAAACCGACGGCATTATTATACATGGACATAGCTATCGCACAGACAAGACACACAAGGAGTGACGCCAAGGGTTACAGCGTGGTGTTACCATTAGCCGCATTCACACCGCAGGACTTTCCCTGGTACTTTGGTTCTTTAGTTCCGTTAGTACCAATAATGTCGCGTTCACACCGCCGGGACTACTTAGTGCCGGGAACTCTTTTTGGCCATTTTCAGTCCCTGCTAGAGAGGTGGTACGAACCTGGTGATAAAAGAGTGCCAATTTCTATTCTATTTCTATTGGCTGGGCGAATTGCAAACCACGCCCCGTTAGACTCAGATTTTTTTTGTTAGGCAGCCATTTTTTTCCTCGCTACAAAACCACATCCACACCTGAGCGAGTAGTTTTTTTGTACTTTAAAGCAGTTATGACCAAACGTACTACAACACCGGAGCGGTGGAATGATGAGGAAGTGTCGGCGCTTCTGGCAATTTACTCTGAGGACGGGATGCAGCAGCTTCTACAGAAAGCAGTTCCCAACTCCAGCGATGTTTGCAAAAGCTACTTGAGCTGGGAATCGTGCACAGTGCACACGGATGCCGGGTAAAAATAAAGAAACTCAGGCAGGACTATAAAAAAATTAAAGACCACAATAATAAGAGTGGTAACGATCGAAAGACCAGTAAACATACGCCTCATACAGCGGGTGGGCTTTATACCCCCTCCCCCCCGTGTAGTTCTTCTTCTCTCGTTTTTTTTGTACTCGCCGTGAAGTGGTTTTGCGGCCTGCCAGTAAACCCAGAGAAGAAGAAGACGAAGTGACGTCAGCGTAATCTTGCCTCAGGGAAAGTACTGCGGTGTGAATGCGATTGGCACTAGCCCCCTGGCGGATTCAGTGCCGTGGCACTAAAGTACGGCAAGTCCTGCGGTGTGAAAGCGGCTATAGGAACCATAGCATCTTATCTTAGCACATGCTTTGCTCCAACTCCAATTAGGACATTTTCGTTTATTACAAAGAGAAGAGGCATGTTGTTGTAAATTCACAAATTACCTTCTAGGGTCCCATTAATGTTTCCCACCCCTCTACCCAGATGTGACAGTAAAGATGCAGCTTCTCCCATTCGTATGAGCTTCAGAAAGTCTTCAAGCTATTTATCTAAGTTAAAGTACTTTGCCTTTCTATCTTTAGGGTTCATAGAAATTATACGTTTTGTCGCAGGGCATGCTAACGCTATATGCTATTGTACAGATGATTGATATTGAATCTTTGTGGATATATGTGTTGAAATGTAGCTGCTCCTCTACATTGCTTTTATCCTGTCATGTTGTACTAATCTGTCTATTGTAAAGCGAGTTTGGCTACAATTCTTGTAATAGGTGTACAAATATAAAGCTTATTACTAATATTATTATTATTATTATTATATATAAATAAACTATATTTAAAATGAGTTACCTTTTAGAGAAGTGATTATATTTGTATGCCAATATTTTTCCTATGGTAAAGTTTTCGTTTTGCACTTTTATTTTGATAGTAATAAGATCGGGACTCTTATTTTGAAGGAACTTTTACCAGTTAAATCGGTTTACTGATAAAGATTTAGCCCCAGAAAGCACATGGCTACTTAGCATGCAAAATGATGTCATTCTGCATGTTAAGTAGCCATGTGCTTTCGTGTTATCAGCTGAATCTTTATTTATTGATTAGATCACCTGATGATAGTGTTCAAGACAGCCTATATGTCTGAACTCAGTAATGTGTTACGGAGCCTTCTCTTCAATATTGTTTCCACATAATGAGCATTTTGCGCTGCTCTTTTCCAATGTGGAAGCAGAATGTGTGAAAGCATACAGCACGATGCGGGGTGTGTCTCTAGACATCTTTAGACTGGAATAGCAGGGCCCAGTACGTGAACTCGCCTCGCAGGTGCACACGCCAGTATAGAGGACATCAGACTCCAGAGAAAATTTGCTCGAGTCCAAGTCAGAGCGTCAATGTACAAGTCGAGTCCGAGTCATCGTGGGGGGAAAAAATCACGAGTCCAAGTCATCGTGCGGGAGAATTCACGAGTCCAAGTCCGAGTCGCGTCAATCAGTGCGCGAGTCCGAGTCGAGTCACGAGTCCCGAAAATCGGCACTCGAGTACTCCATCTCTGCCTACACCCATACCCATATTCATGATCTTTAAGAGTGTATCCCTTAACTACATCCCATGGCAGCATTTGCTTCTTATTTTAAGTCTTCTTTTAAAGAGGACATATTCTGCTCATTTTCAGGTTCATATTAGTATGTAGTGTCTCTGCTGTGACATGTCTCCATGCTCTAATGTTCAAAAAGCTCTTTATTTACCTCACACTGCCTGTGCTGCAGCACCTCTTTTCACCCTCTGTCTGAAACCAGAGCCCAGTCTGCTCTGATTGGTTAGCTGGCCGGCTCTGTTGTGATTGGTCAACTGCCTGGAAATGTCACTATAATAATAATAATACATATTACATTTATATAGTGCTTTTCCTGGTGCACAAAGAACTTATCAGTAAGTAATCTAAGGAGTCCAATGGAGGCGTTGCAGCCTTTGCAGACCATTTATATGCACACACATACACATTTAAAACACACTTCAGGAAAGGGAAACCCCCTAAATAGCATAATAGGGTGTCTTTAAAGTCTGGAGGTGGTGATGAAGGCTGTGTGCAGTATTTTCAACACTATTACCCTCAATCTAACACCTTTGAACAGTGATACTGAGTACTGAATACTCTAGTGGTGGAGTGAGATACTCGCTCCTATCTTTTCTGTGTCTTCAGGCTATTATTCAGATATTCATAGCAAAATATATAGGTACCCTTTTATCTATGTGAGAATAGCTTTCAATTGCAAGTAAGAAAGGAAAGAGGATTCTTTCAGAATGAATGTTGTTATGTTTTGTTTATCAACAGGTTACCCACTGCAGATTTTTCCATCCATTTTTGTGGACTTCGAGAAAAAAGGAATACCTCCTCTGTATAATTTAAACCACACTAACAGGAAGTTAGATCTATGGATTATTCTACCTTGAAATGGGTTTGGGACAACAGCGTAATGATGCTACAGAAATATAGATTTGTTATGCATATATCTGTTTACGCCTTGAATGCTAATGAGACCAATATAAACAAAGCCACTTGTTTGTATTGCCCTGATTGCTACTGTTTAGAGTTTTGAGAGGTCCTGATAATTTATTCCGGTAAATTACTCTGACCTCCTAATTAACCTTTCCGAAGTTATTGAGTCTATGTAAGTTTGCTGCTTGGCTCAGATCCACCAACATCAGCAAGATCTCACCTCTTCCTAACCCCCCGAAGAACCAGGTTCAATTAACTGCTGTTTCAATTCAGACAACTCTTTTTTAATCTGTTTAAGCGATCCCGAAGGATTTTGATATCAGTAAATGGAGTGTGCTCCTACCTAAGTGTGTGTGGCAGGGTGCAATCTTACCTTTGACGCAGGAGAGGAGGGCACAGGTGTCTTTTAAAGGATCCCAATCCAACAGGTGGGATTCAGTTTATTTGAAGAAAAATAGGTCCAAACTAATAGTGTTTTTACCTTCTCTCTCACAACATTATAATCATACTAACAAAAAAAACCGTGCTGTGATCATGTTCAAATGAAACTTTAATTCACAGTCTTACATTTATTACCAAAATGTTTTAATTTCAACTGCCCATTTCAGTTGTGACATTTTAAAATTCTCCCGATAGAATTTAGAGGTATTTCCTCGTAAAAAGACCGGTGACAATAAAAAGCGCATTCAACTTTCCATTCACCCATTTATTCACATCAGTTTCATACCGTTTTTTCCGACACAGACGGCGGATTAACACTCAAAAACCCATACCTGTCCGCAAAATTCGGGGGACAAGATTTCCCCACAGGTCGCGGTATTTATAATGTTCATACACTTTTTCCGACACAGATGGCGGATTAACACTCAAAAACCCATACCTGTCCGCAAAATTCGGGGGACAAGATTTCCCCACAGGTCGCGGTATTTATAATGTTCATACACACATCTCTCATCAAATCATTCCACTCAGCCAACAACCAATACATTCGAGAGATATTTACCCCGTCTGGAAGGACCTTACCGAGAGCTATTAACCCAGCTCTGAAGCACACAGCCTACCCGGAGAGAGTCTACCAGGGGTCAACCCCCCTCTCTCGCGCTCTCTCAAAAAACCAGTCTCTTTATGCTAAAAAAAACTGGATCCTAAACCCAAAAAACAAACTCCTCCTCTACACGTAATTTGTGAAGAACTGCGCATGTCCTATAATGTACAAGGCTGAACATGTCCCGACATGTTCCACAGCTGTTATGGGATAAGACACCCTTTCATATGAGGTAAAAAGGACATGAACTCTCTTTGGCCTCTAATGTTTCTCCCCTTAGTGTGAAGCCCCCCCCTCCCTGTGGACTGCTGCCAGAGGAGAGGAAGAAAACTCAACCTAAACATACCACTTTGTTTTGTTTATACTGTAACTATAGAAAACCTAAAATATGAAGCATTTTCATTGTGGGTTATACAAGAATATAATTGATTATATTTGATTATAACTAACTTTCGTTTTTAAGTATTAAACATACTATGAAAACTCACAACACTACGGTGTGCTGCTTTTTATAAACCTGCAATATGTCACAGGATTATGAAACCCTTTATGTGATCCTCCTGAGAGGACACTGTGGAGAGCTGCAGGTGGGTTACTGTACGTAGATCTAAGATTATTCAATAACGAGCCTCGAGGTATTCTGCTATGCTGCAGCTCCCGATAATGAACAGATTGTGCTTCCTTAACACATGTTTGACACATTGCTGTTGAGGTATAAGTATACTCAGGCTATTTTATTGATTTAAAGGACAAGTAGTAGGCTTAGTTCAAATTGAGAGGAACCAGAGAAGAATAGTTTCTCAGAAAAGCATTTCACGTATCTTACATGTTTTCAGAGCGGCAGAAAAATACATAAAAAACCCATTTATTGATTTCTTCATGAACAATTTTTTACATTTATTCAGTAGATATTGATCTGATTTGCTTCCCTCTCATTAACCTTCTCTTCCTTTTCTTCTCTCCCTCTAGTTTTTCTCAGAAATACCCACCTGTGAAATTCCTGTCAGAAAAGGATCGCAAGAGAATTCTGGTATGGGATAAACACGATTTCAGACGACCTATACAATAATCGTTATTATACCAAAGTTTTAACCCTAATTCGAGCCACTAGCTGCTTAGGATTTAAACAGAATGAAGTTCTAATCCTTATCTTTCTCAAAATTAAATCTAAACGGGGAATTTCTGCTTTAACACAAAATGGGTCTTATTGTTAGCTCTGTGGCGGTGGCCCTGTGGATATTTATGGTTCCAGGAAAATGTATTTCATTTCATTTCAAACCTTTATTTATCCAGGTGTATCCCTTGAGATCATTGATCTCTCTTTCAAGGGGGACCTGCTCAAGTAGGTTCCACATGAAACATAAAACAACAGAACAACAAAAAGGACATCATACAGCATCATTACAGGGATTACAATTTACAATAACTATCCACATGAACCGGTACCAACAGCATCCGATTGAGTAGCATCCAACCGAGCTTTAAAAACATTTAGTGGCACCAGATTGCTCAGTTTGCATTTAATTTGCAGACTGTTCCAAGACAGAGGAGCTTCGCATCTAAAATCTATCTTCCCTAAGACAGTCCTAGCAGTTGGCACATTTAATAAAATAAATATTTAGCACCATGTATCCTGTTGACTTTCGCTATCCTCCTGACTTTTCATGAAGCGCCGTCAGGAACTTGACATTTTTGGGTTCATTGAAAAAATGTTTAGTCAGGTTGATTTCTGACTTTCTGTCTAACACAACACACAAACATGTTTTTTATTACTTAACAAATTTAAAAAAAATGCTCCACTGATGTTTCAAATGTATTTATTTTTGTTACCAAATGCCTCTTGCATCCAAGGCACAACGTTTAGAATTACTGAACCAACAACACTTTATTTTTATTTTTACGGCAGTTATCGTCAGCATCTGATTGGTCTGCTAGATAAAAACAACATGGGGAAGTGCAAATTAGATGAGAATTGGCTTTTTAAACAATATTTAGCACCATGGCTGCTATCAGTGTTTTAAGTTCTTGTATGCACATCTTGTATAAAGCTGTTCATACTGTGGTTAATTGGTAAAAGTAGTGTACTGTACATTTCCTCAATTTTCATTTCAAATAGTGTAAATTTTATCAATTAATATATTGTTTTAATTTCTAAGACAAGTCTTCTGTGTAAAATGCCCGTTGATTTAGACTTCATTCATAGAGTACATACAAAAGATCAATGAAACACAAATATGTATCTTGCTTTACTGACATGTGTTTTCTTCCTCTAGATCACAGGTGGGGCAGGGTTTGTGGGTTCCCACCTGACGGACAAGCTGATGATGGATGGCCACGAGGTGACGGTGGTGGACAACTTCTTCACGGGAAGGAAGAGGAACGTGGAGCACTGGATCGGCCATGAGAACTTCGAGCTCATCAATCACGACGTGGTGGAGCCGCTCTATATTGAGGGTGAGTTGGAGAATAACTGTGGGAGGGGATACATTGTTTATTAATACTTTAAGACCTGGTTGTCCAGAAGTAAGTAAATATATTAAAACTATGAGAAGCCGGGAAGCTTTACTACTGATCACAGTACAAGGCAGTGGCGAGCCGTGACTTTTATACCTAGGCCCTCTACCACACAAAACAACACCATTTATATAAACACCTATCATGACAGGGCACCCACAGCCAAGTAACAATTACAAATGAATGAAGTCGGCACGGCGGCCCACATTGAAAATGACTTAGGCCTACCTTTGATGATCAAATCACTGAAACACAAAGTCCATCCTCCTGTCATTTTGGATGAAGCACTTGATGGCGGGGTCATGCAGCTGATCCTTTGCCACTCCAGTTTATCATTGTAACTCAATCTTGAAAATGACTCGGTTAATAATTTCGCAACGATGTCATCACTATCACTGAAGTGAGCCATCATGAACGAACTTATGCTAATCATAAATCTATCGATCATAAATCTATCGATTAGATTTATGATTCAAAAATAGTAAAAGTAGGGTAGACATGTGGATATTATCCGGATGAACACAACGTGCATTTATCTAACAGGTTCGTTTTCCACAGACCTTATTTCGAGCTATTTTCCAAAATCCTATGGAGAAATCCCACTGCTTTCTGTCGAGGGAATCCGAGCGAAGCTTACTTCCGGGTTTAGGACGTGTCACTGCACCTCTTGCATAGACCTCACAGCGGGCGGAACTTGTCATAAAGTCCGCGAAAATAAAGCCCGCCCATTTAGAGGGAAGATATGATTGGTCAATTGTACTGTCATTTGACATCGTTGAGTTACTATAGCGGGCCCTCTGTGAATGTAGAGAGGGACCAACAAGCCCTCCCGTCTTCACAGTAACTCGCAGAGACGGCATTTAACCCTTCACATTCCAACAGAAACTGAACAGGCAGATTCTAAGGATTTATTTCTTTGGAAATATTATTTTAAATACAATTAAATCAAGTTATTTTGGTAAAACTAATGAAAAATGTAACAACAAAAAAATATAAAAAATAATATTTAAAAAAAAAATGTTTTTTTTTAATGTTTTCAAATATTATTTTATAGAATATCTTAGGCCCTCACAGAGGGCCTAGAGGGCCCTGACGGCTCGCCACTGGTACAAGGTATCATATATGTTTCAATATGGAGTATGACCATAGTGTAGTGTTTCAGAAATGATAAAGAAAACCTCAGAAATGTCATTGAAATGCAGTGAAACATGAGTGGGTTGGGATTTTGGTTTTCCCTTAGAAATTAATTTTGTATTATTTATGCAGCATATGAAAAATGTAGGCACAGTTGGTCTGTTATATGTTTACTACGGTTCAGTGTTCAGGTGTTCAATTCACCTCAGTGGTTTCAGGACGGAAAAGTCATCAGGAGATCCTATATCTAAAGTCTTATTTGGTAGCAGTTAGTAGCGTTTAGGCACAGTGGTGTCCGCTGTCACTGCGGGGAGAAAATTAATTAATCTCAGTGTGTTGTTGACAGAGTGCTATAATGACTTCCAGTGAGGCTGTTGGTTCAAACTGCATTTGATTTTAAAGAGGCCCTATTATGCGTGCTGAGGTTTTCCCTTTCCTGTAGTGTGTTATATAGGTTTTTCTGCATGTAAATGGTTTGCTAAAATCCTAAAGTAAAAGAAGCCTCCATTAGACTCCTTTGTTTCCTTTGAAACATAATGAATTCACTATGTAACACTGTACTTGATAGGCTAAAGAGCTGGACATCTCTAAGCATTTGACCAATCACAACAGAGCCAGCCAGCTAACCAATCAGAGCAGACTGGTCTCTGGTTTCAGACAGAGGGTGAAAAGAGGTGCTGAATAGCTTTTTGAACATTAAAGCATGGAGACATGTCACAGCAAATGCTCAAAATACAAATATGATCCTGAAAATAGGCATAATGTCCTCTTCAAGTATTTTATTAATGCTTACGACGCCATTCAAATCCTACAAATATAACCTGGTTCAGTCACTAGCAGAAGTGAGACTGAAAGTGGTGGATACTTTTCTGCTTTATCGGTGAACTCTACTCTATCCTGTATTTAAAATTAATCTGTAATTTAAAGGTCTGCTACTACATTTTGTTAGATGAGATGGCACTTATACCCCATGCGATGCAAAACCACCCACTTTGTATTGTTGTATATAATCTAAAAATTTTAAAAAACCTATAGAAGGAAGTAAGGATACTAAGAAAGTTGGAAATAAAGAGAAGAGAGTTTTGAAACTGTTTATTTTCTCAATTTATCTCCAACAGCTTTTTCTCCCCCGATTGTCACCTCACAGTACGATTTTCTGTGGGGGCTCACAATTGTTAGCCAACAGAATCGATGCCTGTGATGTTTTCGTTCGTCTGTTTGTTTACTTGGACCAGTGCCAAATGCAACCTGTTGAGCTCTGCTAGGCTCAGAGACGACGGTGGATTTGAGATGGTGGGGGGTGGGCTTTTTGAAATGCTGAAGCAACAATGAAAGAAATTGATAACGGCACTTTTGTTTAGCAAAGGCAGGCATGGCAAAGAAAAATAGAAAGCTGAGGGTTGATGGATCACATAACATACTGTTGGAAAAATATCACTCACGGCTTGAGCTTCAATATCAGGATACATGTATTTATTATCCTTGCAAGAATGGAAGTAGTCATCACATACAGAGCATTTGGGACAACTAGTTCCCAGAACAGTGTCCTTCAGTGTCCTTCAGATGCTGATATACAAGAGAGGGTGTTATTCAGTCACAAGATACGTGAATACCGGTTCAAAGCAGTATTCTATGCTTTGTTAAGATTAGCTAAGACCCACATAAGCAATAAACATGACAATCATATGTCTATCTCCATAGAGGCTCAATCATCATGTTAATCACATAGCTGTCGTATGTCTAAAACAGTCCTGATGCTCTTCTAGGTAATCATACATCCTGTCATGTACACAGCTACGTAGGGCCTTTTCTAATATCAGAGTAACACATGATAACAGAGTACAGTAATTTCCCAACATACCTATAACTGCTAAGGTGTATGAATATCTGCTGCCGTGATAAGATGATTTAATTTTGTACGCAGCAGTATACTTAATGTTTCTGCCTGATTCAGCTCAAGGCCTTGGCAGGAAGACACTGAATGATCCATCTGAGTAATATAATGCATGAACAGTACCAGTGCTGCATCAAGTCAAGGAAGAAGTATTCAGATCTTGTACTTAATTAGTAGTAGAAATACCAAAGTTTAGGTATACTCAGTTACAAGTCAAAGTCCTGCAATCTGAATGTTCCTCAAGTACACATTTTAGCATGAAAACATACTCATTATGCAGATTGACCCATTTCAGAATAATATATATGGTTTGATTATAAAGTGTCAAATAAATGTGCTGAAGTAAAAGTACAATATTTACCTCTGAATTGCAGTGACGTAGAAGTACAAATCAGTAAAAAAAGATAAAACTCAATAACCTACAAGTACCTCAAAACTGTACTTCAATACAGTACAGAGTTTGAGTTAACTTGAGTAAAGTTTATTTCCCACACTGACGATACATTGATACAGCACAGAAGTATCTGGTTTACATCAAACAAAGTAACTGTTGTTATGAAATACTTCGTTTCACCTCAGTGTAATGACTCCCACAGAGCCGCTGAAGATTATGTTTAAGGTTACGCAGGCACCAGAAGACAATATTTAATAAAACTAGTAAACACAACTGCATCATAAACCTGTGCTCTGCAATTAGACTTTATTGCAGAGCACAATGTGCCCGGGCTATTGTTAGGCCTAAGCCAATTGCATGTAACATTTTCAGGTTCATAATAATATTTTATGGCTTTAATATTCCAAAAGCTCTTTATTTTTCTCATACTGCCTGTGCTGCAGCACCTTTTTTCACCCTCTGTCTGAAACCAGAGCCCAGTCTGCTCTGATTGGTTAGCTGGCCGGCTCTGTTGTGAAGAGTTAACCGCTTAGACAAGTCCTGGCCCTTAGCCAATCATGTACAATGTGTTGTAGCGCTAACCAAAATAAGTGTTAAATAGTGATCTGGGTTTACATGCACAAAAACCTGTATTACACACTATAGATGACGCACTATAAGAAAGCGAAACCCGAAAAGCACAAAATGGGCCTCTTTAAGTATCATGTAGCAAATGAGTCGGTCACGTGTCACATCTCTTTCTTTGCAAGATAAAAGCCTGTAATTACTGCGCTCTGAGCTACATAGAAATATATAACTGATATAATTTGGCTCTCTGTTGTAGACATTGAAAGCAACTAACAGCTGTTAATGCAGTCTTTATTATGCCTACCTATGTTGCAAATGTATTATCTCTTCAATTTACACACGGCATCTATTGCACGTCTGTCCGTCCTGGGAGAGGGATCCCTCCTCTGTTGCTCTCCCTGAGGTTTCTCCCATGTTTCCCTTTAAACTGTGGGTTTTCTCCGGAAGTTTTTCCTTGTACGATGTGAGGGTCTAAGGACAGAGGGTGTCGTATTGTCATACTGATATTTTGTACAAACTGTAAAGTCCACTGAGACAAATGTAACATTTGTGATATTGGGCTATATAAATAAACATTGATTGATTGATTGATATGCCTAGCTTTCAGTAGAAGTTTCAAGGTCAAGGTTCCAAATGAGCTGCAGAATTGATGAATGGAAAAAATCTTCGGCACTGTCTTTTAGGGCTGCTCGATTATGGCAAAAATCATAATCTCGATTATTTGGGTCAATAATTGTAATTGCGATTATTAAATGCGATTATTCATTGACTTTGAAAACATCCATTTATTGGAGAAAAAAAACGTGAACAGTATGTTTTTAACAGTTGATTACCTTGAACTTTAAGTATAATTCAACTGAAAAACCAAATAATAAAAAAATAATCGTTTTATTTCGATTACGTTGTTTTCGTAATCGTTACAAGCCATAATCGTAATCGCGATTAAAATACGATTAATTGAGCAGCCCTACTGTCTTTTATTTTTTGCTGAAAAATATGTTATTGTTTTAACTCTTGTCTTTGCAGTGGACCAGATCTATCACCTGGCGTCTCCCGCCTCTCCTCCCAACTACATGTACAATCCCATTAAGACACTCAAGACCAACACCATTGGCACTCTGAACATGCTTGGTGAGTACATTAAGAGCACTTAACGCTTTGTCCCTTTTTATATAATGGACTCAAAAATAAGGCTTCATGGTGACATTTTCTAATTTGAATCTGTCCACATTTAATAAACATGTGTTTCTTGTTTGAATTTTCGAAGAGCTATGCGGTATGTTGATCTTTTATATATTGCAACAAAGTATAGTTAATATTCCACAAAATATTTAAACTAGGGCTGTCAAACGATTACAATTTTTAATCAGATTAATCCCAGCTTAAAAATTAATTAATCATGATTAATCACCATTCGAACTATGTCCAACATATGCCATTTCTTTATGTATATTGTTGTGGGAATGGAAAGATAAATGAAAGAAGGCAGATATATCCATTTAACATACATACATAACGTATGTTTATTTTAACATTTTTCTGTGTGTCAAAATGAAAGACAGCCCACACACCTATCAATCATCAAATCGTGGGGTCTTAATTAATTACGTGTTGATTTCTATCAACGGGGGAGTACTTCAGGAAAGTCGACGGGGGGCGGGCTAGAACAAATCGAATGGGGGGGGGCAATCATTTACCACGGGGGGGCACACACTGCCGTCAACAACCAACACACAAACACCAACGCAACTTCAATTTAAAAAAACATGCTGTAAAGTCTATTGTCTTTCACACACATTGCAGGGTGTATGCTATTTATAGCGCACCTATGACTTCTGCATACATGCACGGTTGTGGCACGACCACCAAAACAGAAACATATGGACATAGGCCACCATATGTGCAAATGTATTTAGTATCCTATCCATGTGAACATGTTTTAGGTGGGGCATGCTCCCCCGGGAAGATTATTTTTAAAATATTGAAGTTAAAAGCATCAATCTGGTGCACTTTGAGAGCAAAATGAAGAGATCTATGGATAGCCTATCTCTCAGCATCCATATGAAACAGAACTGTACACAGATTTACTTTTTCTTTATGGATATTTTACTAATCACTCCCCTTTTAAACTGTATTCTTGTGTTACTGTCCTATAGTATTACATACCCGTGTTTCATTTATTCTCTTATTCTTTAATAACTATAATGATCATATAAAGGTGTTCCTCGCAAATACTTGTTTACATAAATGGTGACCAAACCGTTTGAGACCCACTGAGATAACTTACACTAAAGTGAACTATCTAAACACTGAGAGAGTCCTTACCTCACTGAGCTCAGGTTATACGATCCTCTCAGTCTGACAGGAGAGGACTCTCTTCCACCTTGGTGTAGAAACAGCTCTTTATATCCGTTAGCATAGCTAGCTAACCAGATGCTAACAACAACATTCCGCGTTACCGCTCGCGCACTCACAAAATGCGCTCGTGCCACACACACACAGAGCCGAGCTTGAATGAAGCACAGAGACCCAGAAGTAGGCTACTTGTACTGTACTGTGTATCATATTATTTTCGATGGCTTTACTGTATAATCAGTGTAACAGATGAACAGATTGCCACCGGCTTTCATCTAAAACACACAGCCACGTAATGATAACAAAACAAAGGTCGGGGGCCATTGGTCAAGCAACACACCAATCAGAGAGCAGCAGTGAGCACACCTCAGGCTGTGTTTTATTTTTGTATTATTTATTTCTGATGTATTTCTCACAAAAAACCTTTAGTGGAAACGTTTTCACTTATATGATTAAAAAAAAAAAAAAAACGGCAAAGTGGCAAGGCTTGCGTTGGGGCGGGCACAGTGACTCATTTGGGGGGGCATGGCCCGCGAATGACCCCCCATGACGCCGACCCTGCTAGTGGAGTACTTCGTGACCACAGTGTGAACGTTGTGATCAGCTGTTAGCGCAGTTCTCCAGTGAAGGGGGGGGGGAGTCTCCCTCCGCAGCCGGTTGGCGTAGTTTTGGCACAATTCCGTTGTACAGACCGACGTTAACAGCAGCCCTGTCTGTGCACACGGAGACCGACTCTGTCGTCCGGTGATCTAACCGCCTTCTGGAAAAGCTTCACAAGTACGTCGGTACGCAAATGCGCTTTGTGACACAAGTGACGGTACGCATTTCAGATTATTACCCACATAACCCGTGTACCAGTTATGTGCACCCCTGTACTACAGCAAAAGTATTCTCCGTCGGGACTTCCTGCAACAACACCACGCCGTTATCTTGATTCTGATTGGCCAGAAGACATTATCAAAGATGTTCTATTGAGAAGACGATCACTACGTGACAAAAGTTTTCAAAACCGTTTCTGGTCTTCGTTATTTCCAGACAAGTGGCTACTGAAATCAATCTTACTAACTGCCGTCTGTGCAATTTACTCCGCGAGTTGGCGGACTTTATTTTGCTTACTTTAACATCATTTTTCATGGTGGGGCTGAGCTATTTCTTGGTATGGGTGTAGCCTACCCCAGCCATACCCTGACGCTGCCACTGGTGGCACGTATGGGGCGGGCCATTCTGCACATGCGTTAAATGCGTTAAATATTTTAACGCAATTAATTCAAAAAATTAATTACCGCCGTTAACGCGATAATTTTGACAGCATTAATTTAAACATAACCTCAGTCCAGATCCGGCAGATACAAATGTGTTTATATTATATATATTATTACCACAATACTTAACCGAACATTACCCTCCCTCATTAAACGTTTCACTTTTATCCATGCCAAATGATTTTTGAATCCAGCAAAACACTGTGAGTCAAAACCTTGTGTGTTGTTATTTAACATTTCAAAAACAGGTTCCCATTTTAATATTATATACATTTTTAGATTGATGAGGATATGACCTCTCCTCTCACTCACAACCTTTTGAGAAACATTTCAGAACTTCTCCTGTGAAGTATTGTCAAAGCCCTGTATGAATATCAATGTAGAGCTTTTATACTAGAAGACTGTTCCCACTGTGTTTTAAGGGGAAGAAAGAGACCGGAGCACACTGATTGATGTCCTGCTCTTTAATTATATCTTCACATAATTAAAAGGCAGGAAATCAATCGGTCTCTTTTTATCTCTCGTTGAGCTGAGAGTTTTGTTGTTTGCCTTTCAGGTTTAGCCAAGCGTGTGGGGGCCAGACTTCTGCTGGCTTCTACTTCGGAGGTCTATGGAGGTAAGGAAGAGCCCCCCCCCCCCCCCCCCCCCACTCATCTTTAAATATTCTGCTGCCGCTTTCTAATTACTTTAGGCGCTTTCGCACCGGAGTACTTTTCCCAGGAATAGTTCCGATAGTTCCTGGGATTTTGCGTTCTCATCAAAAAGATCTAGAACTTTTGCGAACCTTTTCACCCCTTTTTTTTCTTCTGATTGGCTGGGCAAATTGCAAACCATGCCCCGTAAAACTCTGAAAAATTGTTGTGAAGCCGCCATTTTATTTGCCCGCATTAGCATTATTAGCATTAGCCCAGCGCACCAACGGAGAGAGACTCACTTATGGCAACACAAAAGAAAATATGGGAGCGGTGGAGATGAGGAGGTGTCGGCGTTCTGGCGATTTACTCGGAAGGCTTCAGTAGAAGCTGCTGGGAGTCCCAGCAGCTTCTACTGAAGCCAGTCCCGAACTCCGGGGACTTCCGGCCGGGGACTTCGGGTGGCAGTATACGCCGTGAAGTGGTTTGCGGCCTGCCAGTAAACCCAAAGCAGAAGAAGAAGTGAGGTCAGCGGCTTCATTTGCTTAATCCTCCCCCAGGGACTTATTCCGGTGTGAACGCGATCTGTACTTAGTTCATGAGAACTAAAGAGTTCTCATGAACTAAGTTCTCATGAACCTTTGTGGGAAAAGTACTGCGGTGTGAAAGCGCCTATTGTATTTTCAAAGTTCAGGATTAAAAACTTGAACTTTCAAATAAATTGTATTTTTTTGAATGATCAAAACGTGTGACCCTGATATAGAACATTACCCGCTGTTAGCTTAGTGGTGGTAAAGTGCAGCAACGTTGATTCCGTTTTATAGCCTAATGTGTTTTACATCTGGCGATTGCATTTGCGCTTCAACCAATTTTAAAAGTAGTGTTAACATGCGGATAACAAAACGTGTCAGTGTCATAAATGTTTGTTTGCCAAAGATCACATTTTCACTGAAAAGATTGATGCTAAATTGTGCTATTGATGCTAAAAAAATGCCATCACAGCCACTTCATTCAAGATCCCTTAGCTTCTACATTTGTCTAAACATGTTTTTAAACCGTATTTCACAGATCCAGAGGTTCATCCACAGAACGAGGAGTACTGGGGCCACGTGAATCCAATCGGTCCTCGTGCGTGCTACGATGAGGGGAAGCGCGTGGCAGAGACCATGTGTTACGCCTACATGAAACAGGTATCAATACCGCACGGTGTTCATTTGAAGGGAAATCAGGTTATCATTTTTCTTTGATTGACACTCTCAATTGTCTCTCTGTGACTTTCATCAGTAAAATGCTTTGGTTCAACGGCACACTCAAAGATGGCTGGAATGCAATACTCAAAACGGTAAAATAATAAATCCATTGTGGTTGTTTTCTCAGATTTAATGGATATAAATAGAAAATGTCACAGCTTTCTGGTGAGGAGTATAATTACTTCTAATCTAATATGTAAAGTGCGACGATGAGTGTATTCTTTGTTCCATTGGCATAAAATCAATTGAGGAAATTGTGATTTGTTTTGTACAATGTAATTAATGACATACAAATAAGTTGTTTATCATGAAGCCTATTATATGAATAGATTTTTTGACATGGTTAAGTCTCAGTAAAGACATGACAATCAATCATTGGGTTATTATAGAGGTCTGTGTTTTCATGAATGTTTCCTTAAATATCCTGACTGGATGATCATTTTCCCCCGCCGTGACTTGATTGACGGCAGCCTTTGATGATCAGATATGATTGGCTTCTCTTTCGTTGCCTCCAGGCAGGTGATATTTATTTATCTGCCTCGTCTCCTGCTCCTCAGCTGCTCATTATTTTTTTTACACTTTCTGGGAGAATTCTCGCTAACAGACGGCTTTAAATATCCAGGTGTCTGTCGTTTGAGCACGGGGACGAAGATATCACTCAGTACATCTTTTGCCCAGTCATGTCATCGAAATTCATTAACATTTGAAAACTGATGAGTGTCGGTTAACCAGCGGGAAAAGCATTTATTTCCTTCTCCCCACACAGAAGGCAAACATTATGAAGATGGAAGACATCCGTGGACTTCTAATCTCCAACTTATTTGATTTATTCAACAACATTTGATTATAGGCAAACTATTCAGTGACATTTGAAGCACAGCTTAATGTAATCAAAGTAAATAAAAAATAGCATAATATGAAAAGATGAGCATCTCTAGGTTTTTGGCACTTTTATTGATACTCCTCAATACAAACTTTATTTTAGGAACGAAAGGAATAACACGTTTTTGTTGCTGATTTATAATAAAAAACTAACCTTAAAGAGGAGAGCCCATTTTCAGATTCCTATTTGTATTTTGTGCCTTTGACATGTCAAGCTCTTTATTTTTCTCATACTGCCTGTGCTGCAGCACCTCTTTTCACCCTCTGTCTGAAACCAGAGCCCAGTCTGCTCTGATTGGTCAGCTGGCCGGCTCTGTTGTGATTGGTCAACCGCTTAGAGATGTCACGCCCCTTAGCCTATCATGTACAATATGTTGGAGCGCTAGCGAATAGGAGCACAAGTGTTACAAAGGGATGTCACTATGTTCAGGAAGTAAACAAAGGAGTCCAATGGAGGCTTTTCAGACCATTTACATGCACACAAACCTATACAACACTACAAGCGAGGGAAAACCCTAATAAAGTCTCCTTAAATACAGTGTTGGCGGTCACCAGGTAGCGAAGAGCAGCAGTTTGCGTACATTTAATCCCAACTCCTTTTCAGCCAGTTTAACTAAAATGTGTCATTAAACACAATGTATGCTTCTTTATTTATGTTTTGCCAAGTGATCATGGCATCCTCTTCCTAATTAAATATATGATAGGCAAAGATAGGTGCAGATGTTTCCATGTCATTAAACATTAAATCTCAGCATCTCCAACAAGCCCTCTGAGGCTCGGGGACATGAGCAGCCTGCACATGTTTTCTCGTTCGATCGCTGATGCCAAGTCAGTCCCAGAAGCATTTCCACCTGTCTATCATAACTACAGTCAGCAGCAGGTGAACACAGCCTATGCAACCTGCTCTGCAAAGGTGTTAAATAATTGAATTAATCTCACATGTTATTTTTAAGAGCTCCTGTGCCTCAGTTTTTATTTTTAATGGAATAAACAAATGCATGATGCTTCGTTAAATCTCGTTTTAGGCAGCCTAAAGCATTAGGGGTGTTGTTTTAGAGCATTTTATAAAATATTGAGCCAAATTTGCTTTTATTGTGAGTTTTCAGAGTTTCTTCACTTTAATCATATTTCATATTTTGTCTACATTATTTATTTCTTAAAGGTAGGGTAGGTAAGAATGGAGAAACCATTTCGAGTGCGCTAGAATTTGAAAGTACGCAGCCGGAAAAATCTGCCTCCTCCTTCAGACTTCCTTACAGAGCCCCTCCTCCAACACACACGAACGCGCACATGACCAATGAGGGCACTAGATTAGTTTGTGCACAGATGGAAGGCTGACAGGCAGGTAGGTCATCCAGTTATTTTAGCCGGGCCGGCTCAGATGATTGGTTGTGCTTTTTACAGTGCTACGGCTTCCACAGATGACATTTTTTAATGTATTTATTGTCAAAGCATTTAATATATTCATTGCTATCGGGATGTTGAGAGCATTCCATGGAATATAACAAAAAGTGTTTCTGAAGTGAATTACCTACACTACCTTTAAGCCAATATAATTGCAAACATAAGAGCAACCCATTTTCAATTGATGCAGCGACAAATACATCACCAAATGCACACACACACACACACACGCACACACACACACACACACACACACACACACACACACACACACACACCCTGACAAACACTTGATCGTATTGCTACATTTCAGCCCTCGAGTGTGAAAACTGTTTGATTGGCAGTAATTTATGTGTATATGCACATAGGTGGAGAATGTAATGACCCTAAGGCAAAGTGGTTGCCTGTAAGGATAGAGGGTGTCGTTTTGAACAATCTGTGCTGTTGTATTAGCTGTAAAGCGTCTCTACTGTAGGCTATTTTTATTATATGTACAGCACTTTGGCTCGACCAAATTTTTTTAATAAATGTGCTATATAAATAAAACTTGATTTGATCAATCACAGATCATTATATGCATGCACAGATGGACGGGCTTTATTTCTGGGGGAAAAAACGACTTGTTGGATTATAGTTTCTGGAAAATGCCAATAATACACAATTGAAGCTAATTATTATTATTATAATTCATCAATATCGTGCTTAAGGTGCATAGACAGTAATGTTTAAAGGTCATGCTATTTTTAGGCACATATTATGGGTCTCAGATATACAAAAATATAAAAAACATGTCTATGATGTGTTTTGCTCAAAAAACCAAACAGATCACCCATTTTAGACATCCCTCATATCCCTCTGTTTCAGGTCTGTTAGAGAAACGCTGATTTTGGGTCCTTTAGCTTTTTAAAAAAAAAAAGGGGATGGAGCTAATGCCTGCTCAGAATTCTACCGATTCTCAGCTAAATGCTGCCGTGATTAACGCCATATCATGTTCAAATCCACATTAAGGATTATTTCTGAAACAGTATGGAGCTCAAATGTTTTTTCTCTTGCGGGATTACCACAAGGCGAGTTCCTTTTTATTTATTTCCTGATTTTTTTTTTACACATACTCTCTCCAGTACAGGTTAGCTCTGAGTATTAGCGATGCTTGCTAATGTAAACAAAGACCAAATTACGTCCAAAACGTTGCGCATTGTTTCTGATAGGGCCGTGGGTTTGAAGCCAGCCCACATTTCTGATAGTACGTCATATCGGACGCAAATCTGGATCAGCTCCATTGTACCCCCGTTTTTAGAGATGTGGGTACGGAGGAAAAGAGAGAGGGTTTTATTTTCTGACACTTGGTGTGTTCCCTGACACACCGGGGACACATATTTATGTATACAAGACTTCAGAAAGTGCATTTTGCATGATAGGAGACATTTTAAGACAGAAACAAAGCATGTAGGTGTGTGTATACTGTGAGTGCAAACACTCCATCTTTTCCATTTACAAACACTTTCTAAGACCTCCTCTCCAAGTTGTCCCCATTGTGTCCTTGTTCTTCACCGGCTGAATATATTTGCAGGTTCTTATAATCACATTTCATGTTCCACATTTCCCCCAGACCCATCTACATAATGTCCATGTTTTTATTCATCTTATGTGAGCTTAAATGTATTCACATCACATCTGAAGAAGCACATATTGATGCATGAGGGGGGACTTATGAAGGCCGTAGATTTTTTTTGTTTTAATAAAGTAGGGCTTTGTAAATCTGTGGGATCACTTTAAGTAGAAGTGGCCTCATTTATTCATTGCTGGAGAGTGTGTAAGGAGAACGTCGTGTCATACTAAACTGGGACTGAGAATCTGCTTTCCATGAAGAAATATTCTTAAAACTTGCACTTAGGGCCGCTCAATTTATCGTATTTTAATCGCAATTACGATTTTGGCTTGCAACGATTATGAAAACAACATAATCGAAATAAAACGATTATTTATTTTTATTTTTATTATATTTAAAGTTCAGAGTAATCAACTGTTAAAAACATACTGTTCACATATTTTTTTTCAATAAATGGATGTTTTCAAAGTAAATGGATAATCGTTTTTAATAATCGTGATATCAATTATTGACCAAAATAGTCGAGATTATGATTTTTGCCATAATCGAGCAGCCCTACTTGCACTGTATTAAACACTTGGCTAATAGGGAAGAGAGCATGTGACTAGTGCCGTTCCAAACGTCACTTTTAGATATTCAAAGCTCTATTTCATAACCCTAAAGGAAAAATGTGGTTGATTAAATGTGATTTATAATGCTGTTTAAAGGTCCCATGTCATGGCCATTTCTACTGATCATAATTCCATTGTTGAGGTCTACTAGAATAGATTTACATTGTTCAATGTTCCAAAATCACATTGGTTTTCTCATACAGCATCTCTGTATAGTATGTGTCTCTGTCCTACACGCCTTGTTGGAGCTCCTGACCCCTCCCTATGAGCCCACTGTGCTCTGATTGGTCAGCCAGTGGATTACTGGTGTTGTTTCCTGGTTGCTGCGTGGGGTCTGAGCCCTGCGGAGCTCAGGCTGAGTGAGTGAGTGTGTGTGCGGATTGGTCCATTTGGACTTAGTGACATCAATAGGCCCAGGAAGAAGAGAAATCTCCAACGAGGCGTTCTGGGGCAGCATAGACAGGTATTTTCTGTGTTGAGTTTTACTCGCTACAGGGTGTACTTTGAGGGTTTGTGACTCTGCAGACCGTTTACATGCATAAAAAGCTACATAACACACAAGGGGACGGGTGATAACCGGAAAAGCATGACATGGGACCTTTAAGGGACTGCTAGAAAGTCCACGTAATGCAATGATAAGCTCTTTTCACACAGTATATAGACACATTATCTATTATTTGAACTGCCTATGTGTAAATGTAAGTTATTTTGAATGTATACACACGACACCTACTGCACGTCTGTCCGTCCTGGGAGAGGGATCCCTCCTCTGTTGCTCTCCCTGAGGTTTCTTCAATTGTTTCCACATTAACTGGGATTTCTTTGGCTGTTTTTTCTTGTTTGATGTGAGGGTCTAAGGGAAGAGGATAGTATTCATATTCTGTACAAACTGTAAAGCCCCCTTTGACAAATGTGTGATTTGTGATATTTGGCTTTATCAATACAATTTGATTGATTGGTATGATTGAGATATTTCAGTAGATAAAAACTACTTTTGGCAATGATTACATCTATATTTTTTCCATAAATGCTTTTAACTTCACCGTCCCCTGGAGCTGTTGTAAAAAAGATGAATAATTTACTGATGTGATGCTTCTTTGTTGTTTCTCCGCTCACAGGAGGGCGTGGAGGTGAGGGTGGCGAGGATCTTCAACACGTTTGGCTCCCGGATGCACATGAATGATGGACGAGTGGTCAGCAACTTCATCCTGCAGGCTCTGCAGGGAGAGCCGCTCACTGTACGCTCCGTTTTACTCATTTAATACACGCCTGAAGCAAGCCTACTAGGCTTTTTTTAATGAAGATGTGCACACAGTTAGCCTTAATGGGTTGACGCTCAATTACGGGTGTATGCATCCTAAATGATATGCATGCCAATGGAAACATGTGGCAGCTTCTTTAATTAAACATGATTTCAACTGAAGAGCCGCACACTGTAGGTCTGTTTTAGTTAGTTATATGAAACACTTTAAATATATAATTTTGATGCAAACAAATCAAACCTAAGACTTTAAAACGGGAAATAGTAAAGAATAAATGTCCATGTTTTTATTTAGAGAAAAACTCAGTATAGCAATAGTTTATTTGTCTGTAATAAAAAAAATGATCATGACTAAAGTAGACTTGCTTCTGACAAAAAAAACAACCTTGCATTTGGTTTATTATTCAAGTGTGTTTGGCAGAAATGTATTGTTTACCACATGGTGACAAATGCTCCAGTATGTGGTAATAATATGTCTTTATTGAACAAGGATCAAATACATGTCCATCTGCAGTCAGGGAGACACATCAAAATCAACAAACACTATAAACATTTGTGTCTCTCAAACACAACAGGTTACGATTCATTTCAACGTACATCTTAAATTACAGTAAAATGAACGAGACTGGTTGCTCAATATCCATTTTATTTCACCATGGGAAAAACAAGTGTTTGTGTATGCAGAAATTGTAATCAGTTTTGTTGTTGTTGTTCTAGGTGTATGGTTCAGGTTCCCAAACAAGAGCCTTTCAGTATGTAAGGTAAGATCATATTCCATTTTATTTGTCTTATTAGTCACGAGAATCCCTTGTTACAGTATCTACCCACCAATTAGGAAACAATATAATTACACATTCAAGATATAATTAATAACAAATCATGTTGATTGACCATGCCTTCATACAACTGTCTATTTAGTGTATGTTGTTACTATAGTATTATTAATTAAAGTCTTCTACTGAATACACCATATCAAAGGTGTGTATGCTGATGCTCATGTGGCCTTGTGAATGTGAAATCAGGTGGAAGAGTGATTTTAATTTGAAGTTTATAATTAAATACTAACATGTGCACGTCTCTCTGCCCGTAAGCAATATGTGTTGGTGGCAGGTTCAAGGAGCATCTATGGGTTTGTGTGCAGGTGATAGTGACATTAATTTAGCCATTTTGAAGATGCGAGATTAAAGACATGGAGCCTTTGAAGCTCTCCTATCTCTCTAGAGCATTCAGCCTCCGCTCTGTATGACTTTCACTTTGTGTAAACATCAAAATGCCAAGGTCTGCAGGTAAAGCGAGCTCAAAAGACTTAATTACTAATGCAACAACTATTCAGGTTTAATAATTTAAATAATAATAATTTTAATAATACCATATTAATTAACCTTTTTAATATGGCACCTTTCAAACAGTTACAACGTGTTTTCACACATTTAATTCACACAGAGTATCAACTAAACACATTATAAAACACTAATTCCTAAACAGACTAGGAATTAAAATCAAAGAAAGAAAAACTAGGGCTCTCAATGTTAACACGATTAATCTGGAAACCTTTTTACGCAAATTAATCACATTACAAAGTTGGACCCAAACTTCTTCTCGTAATTCCTCCGCGTATTATGTTCATTTTCAGGTTCATATTTGTATTTAGTGCCTCTACTGTTTACATTCTTTAGGATGTTAGCCTTTGCAGACCATTTACATGCACTTAAACCTGTAGAACCACCTGTTGCACTTTGCTGTTAAACAGACTACATGCAAAGTTAATAAACAGTATTTACTCACTCATGGACTTTGGTTGTAATTAAATAAAACAATGACATTACATCTTCACTGATCAACAGCCAAAAATAAGATGTTTCATCCCCATTTTCAAAGTTAGTACACAGCTAGTCGTTTGCAGATTTGATTGGTAATAAGGTTACTATTGTTACATGCTAAATCTGAGTCTCTCAGGTGAAACATTTTAATAAATGTAAAAAATACAACAAGAACAGCAGTTAAAATGTCCTTAATGTCACATTTTAGGGCCCAAACTACGAATGAGAATGTGGTCACTTTATCAGTTAGTTGCTATCAAAGGTCGAATACACGTATTTCTTTGGAGATGCAGACACACATTTTAAATTCAATCAAACAATAACATATATTAACCACCATCATTAAAAAAAAAAGAGTCAATTATTAAGTTGATCAACTTTCCAAGCCATCAATAATTTAATCAGAACAATCCACAATAAATGATGTGAACTTGGTCAAAATAAAATATGAATGCCGCAGGGTCTTAAAGTCACCAGCCCTCAGAATACAGGCTCATGGACATTATGCAGCGGGTGGTATGAAACATTGATGAAGTCATATTTGCATGAGAAAATGTAATTGATCTGTCTGCCACACATAATGGAAGGGAGACGAGGGAGAGAGGTGTAGCGCTGAAGAAAGATACATAAATAATTCTTCTTCCTTTTTAATTTGCTAGTTGATTAAAAACAATGATTTACTTGTGACTAATGTCCACTTACTGTAATGCTCAGACAGTATTCAAATGATAGTGATCACAAATTACTGTAAACCTTTCATTAAATTAGGAGTTGACATTTTTACTTGGAGGTCTGACAGCTAACGACTTTGTATATTAATGGAAGGAAGCAAATATCAGATTGGTATCATTTTAATGGACAGCTTGATACAGGTTTAAGAAAAGAAAATAGAAAAGTTGAAATTGTAATTTATGAGGGATTCAGACTCTAATGTTTAGTGACCGAGTGGAGATTTAATGCTGTGTTTGTTACACAGCATAGGGTTTGTTGGATGCATAATCTGTTCTATTGTATACATTTATACTGTAAACAAACATTTGTTTACAAGTATTTGACTCTATCCACCTCTTTGCATTGACTTTACATGTATTTGCGAAGTGCAAAAAAATTGCATCGCATCCGGTGTGAAAGTTCCTTAAGTGATATGCTAAGGGGCGGGACATCTTTAAGCGGTTGACCAATCACAACAGAGCTGGCCAGCTAACCAATCGGAGCAGACTGGGCTGTGGTTTCAGACAGAGGGTGAAAACAGGCAGTATGAGAAAAATAAAATAAAGAGCTTTTTGAACATGTCACAGAGTAGAGGAAAAAAATGCTAATTTGAAACCTGACATCAGCATAATATGTCCTCTTTAAAAGAGAATAATACAGCCGGTAATAATTGACTTTCTCTGTAGTTGACCGACAATGTCATTGCTTTTATGATGAAGCGGCTATTGATGGATGGAAACACACGTTTTGATCCGGGATGCTTTTCTACAGTCACAGTTCTGCAGTTATCTTTGGTCAGTTTCTCGTGTATACTACAGCCTGCAGGGGTCTGACTATCTCCTGTGTCACAAATGATGGTCTTTGTGACTTGCATGTTGTTCGTTCAATTCAGAAAGCAGCTGGTTTCTAGACAGACTGCAGAGGAGTTTTGTTACTTTGCATATGCAACTTAACGTCAAAGGATCACATTTCAAGGCCACCATTAACTGCCTCCCGGTTCTGTTATGCAAAGCTAAATGTTCAGAAGGCCAGATTAACCAAAGGAAAAACTGCCATTTTCTCACACAATCCTTTCGCTATGTATTCTTTTTTGTTGCTCAGCTGTAAAAGCGTACAAGAACCGTCTGTGGGTGTATTATAAATGCATCACAGCATCTCTTCTCAAAAGATTTTTACCGTGTGAATAATGGACTCTATGTAGTGGCCATAATAAAACCTTCTTAAAACCTAGTTATTGACTGCGTAACATATTTTTCCTTTTTAGATCACACTTCTTTATGCTGATAAATTCTTCCTTCTGTGAATAATGCTGAGAAGGACAGAGCCATAATACCACAATTCATTTTTCGGAGAGCAGTAACTTTTGAAAGCTGTCCTTCAGGATTCTTGTTATTCAAAAGTTATTGGCTGGACTAGAATGAATAAATACATGTCGCCTGTACAGCGAACATTGTGAACTACAGTATGGTTGATCAAAAAGATTGAAAACAGAAGTATGTTGGGGAGGAATGGCTCATTCAGACATTGTCTACTACAAGGATGCGTGGATGTGTTTTACACACCTCACCATTTTCTCTCAGGCTTTTTCAGATATTTTCACCATATGAATATTTTCTTTTCCATACGTCCCATTATCATGAACACACTGAAGCAAATGCTGATGGACATTTGTTTGTGGTTATGACAAACTGTAATGTGCCAAGGCATAAAGGTCATTTAACGAGCAAATAAAGATGGAAACATTTATCGCTGAGAATGTTGGATAACATCGACTTTGCAAACGCTTTACGAGGGAATGAATGTTATTGAACCTCAAGGATACACACACGCCGTTGTAGTGACGAACGTCGAATGTATACGAAACATTTTGTGTTTACAAGAAAACTTCTCATGGCAACTTTAACAACCCTAATATTCTCTCCTACGTAGATATTCAGATCATGAAATATCATCTGAACAAATCTCATTATGTACAACAATCAGAACAATAATTAGGAAAATCGATATATTGTACCTATTCCCTTTGTACCGTTAAAATAATATGTTTATTCTAAGTAGTGTTATGCTTATAGAGATGAATATACAGCCAAATACAAAATACCTGCCATGAATCCCTTTTTTGAAGTAGTTTTTTTTTAATATATATATATATATATATATATATATATATATATATATATATATATATATAAAGGCTGTGGCTCAGTCAGTTAGTGCAGTGGTTCTCAAACTTTTTTCAATAATGTACATGTTCCTTTTTTTTTTTAAATGCAGGCAAGTACCCCCTGATCAACGCAGAAACAATTTGTTAGGGACAAAAAGCCTATAAAGAGGTACATTACAGCGCTGCACCATCAGTGTCTGATTTATTAAAACAACAACAGTAACTGAGAAACACTTAAATGCTACATTTCAAATGTTTACAATCCATCACTAAATTCATGGCAAACCAATTTTAACATCATGCAATAACACTGAGACGACATTAGTTGCATTGAACTGATCTTTTTAATAAGTTGTACTTACAATTTAGTGAGAAATGTGGGCTTGAGCTTCACTGAGGATCTGTGTCATTCTGACAGGGAGGCCACTGCAGTTATTACACTTCACGTTTAGAAATATGTGTAACTCTGTTCATATAAAACCCACACTGCTCAAACTTCGTTACTTTTCCTAAAATTGGTATATCTATTCATTTATTTATTTATTTTGGAGCGTGGGGAATGAAGAGAAACAAATATATGAGCATTTTATGAGCATGGGATTTTGACCCCTCATATAAACATATGCATAATGCTGCGCTATACTTTGCGGCCACACGCCGTTGCTAAGCAACGCTTATTGTTTAGGTGTCCTTTGATAAGCAGGCAGTCATATCATTAGCTAGAACTAGCTAGATCTGATAGATTTGGACAGAAACACGAGTGAAGTCTAACCGGACGCGAGAGAGAGATCAGAGATCAGCTGCTGCTGACGGAGAACACGCAGCTCTGCATGATCACAGCTCCGCCGCGGACTGTTGAGTGGAGCAAAATTAAATACACTAAGAGTTGGACCTAACACACTTAGCTAGTTTATCTACTCTGGAACTAGCTAAACTAGTTATATATTTATTCTTTACTGTCGGGTCACTTATTACAGGTTCAGCGAGCTGCACGAGACTAACGGGCTGTCAGGAGAGGGAGAGGAAAAGAGAGCACCCCGTTTATTTTTCCCCTTTTATTATCCAGAGTTACTGTAAACTTTTGAATAAAGTAGTTCATCTACTATTAGTAGTTCGTTTAAATGCATTTATGTTTTTTTTTTTCATTAACATAAAATAAATCTCACGTACCCCCTGCAGTACTACCACGTACCCCTAGGGGTCCGCGTACCCCCATTTGAGAACCACTGCACTGATCTTCGAATCAGAGGATAGCAAGTTCGAGTCCCACTGCAGTCAGCATGTCGTTGTGTCCCTAAGACACTTCACCCCAAATTGCTCTTGTGGGGATTGCCCACAGTACTGACTGTGTGTAAGTCGCTTTGGATAAAAGTGTCTAACAAGTGACATGTAATGTAATAAACTATGTTGAATCCACTGTTAGTTCATATTAGAGGCTGTGAACTAACTGCATGTGTTATGAATATTCTAGCCCTCATTGATGTAAAAGAGATGGACAACGACCTTTCTCAGTATATAGTGTAACATGCATGCATGCAAATTTGACATTTGGGACAAAGTAGAGCTTACTGATGTGGATATCTTGCAGTGTGTCAGGGGAGGTTATAATTACATGGTATATGTATCATCAGTCAATTTTCAACTCAATAATACATCTGGTTTATATTATATATCAGTGTCATGCTTCACTGAATATCATTCTATACATGATACAAAATACAAATAAAACCTTTTTGGGCATGATGCGCTGAAGCAAACAAGAAAGAATATGGCTTAACATCGGCCGCAGAACATCAGGTCCATCACTTTTTATATTGGCACTGAGGTATAAAAGGATGGATGGACGAGAGCTCAGGCTGACTCTTCTCACCTGGCCTTGGAATTATTTGCTTCAGTTGAATAACAACCCAACATTAAATTAATCATGAGTCGAGGTCAGCAGAGAAATTATATGGAATGTAATATATTACACGAACAAAGTACATCATGTTCTCAAACTCAAATATCTGTGTGACGAGCTGATGCTAATGCCACATCCTGGAGGAGTTGATCTTAAAGGTCTCCTATCATACTGTTTCTCATATACCAAACAGATCATTGTGGCATCCCATAAACCCCTCTGTTTCAGCCTGGTTTCAAAAGTTCTAGGAGGAGATTCACATGATAAGTTGGAGGGGGGGGGTTACCTTGGTTGTTGATTGGCTAATGGTTACACAAGCCAAAAAAATCATAAAGTGGCCAAAATCTGATCAGCTCATTTTCAGACAGGTTTTTATAGAAATGGATCAGGACAAAAAGTGAGCAAATATTTTTGCCTGAAACTTTCAGAATCTCTTAACGCAGAGGGGACACATGTTGATGTAGAAAAGACATGAAAAAGTGGATTTTGCATATTAGGGTACCTTTTTTAATGTGTGTGTTTCCCTCCAGTGATCTGGTGAATGGCCTGGTTCTGTTGATGAACAGCAACATCAGCAGCCCCGTCAATCTGGTGAGTTCACCTTACCCTGCGGAGTCCCTCAAATAGAAGGAAACGCAGCATAAGCAGACATTTAAAGCCCGTCTCTGTTGACACTGAATGATGGACGTTTATGAAATGTTTTTTTACAGGGCAACCCAGAGGAACATACCATATTGGAGTTCGCTCGTCTCATAAAAAGTCTTGTCAGTAAGGCATCCGATCGATCCAAGTATATGTCTTGTATGTGTATCTCTGGAAGCTTCTAACCTTTTCTATCTCAGTCCCTTTACTGTCAAACCTTTCTCATCCCTGAATTTCCTTCCCCAACTTTATGTTTCCTATTGTCTGTCTTACTCATTCATTCCATTTACGCCCCTTATTGTTAAAGCATAGCACGCGTTTTCTATTGAGGTTCAAAAGCCTTATTGTCATATGCACAATGGCTTCGGCGTAGGAGTTGGCAATGAATCGTACAATACACTTTGCAGAATAGAAAATAAAAGTACAGCAGTGAGTTCCAGGAATAAGAAAAACATACATATCTAAATAGAATCTGGGCAGTATAATACATACTGTATACGTGAGCACAGTAGCAAGTCATCTCTTGCAGTTGTTACACTCGATACAACAATAAATCATATTCTATTATCCACTTTGATAAAAAGCAACAATGCCTGCAAAGACAAATATTTTACTGGAAGAAGCTTAGATTACTTGGAGGCAATAAAAAAGAGAAGATTGTTGAAGTTTTTGCTCTGGATAATGTTTTTCTATTTGAACAAACTTGCCGACATCAGGAACAGGAAAGCACGCTGTAGTGACCTCAAGTGGGCTTTCCATAGCCGATTGATTAGTTAGATTTTGAGGAGCCTGGTCTCCCTGCAGCACTGCACCTACGCATGGAGCTCCACACAGGAGCATAACAAAAAGCCTTGACTCATCCCTCTCTTTCAAAACTGTTATGTGATCATCAGCAGTATTAAAAGAGTTAGAAAAATAATAACACAATTTCCTTCTCTCTGCATACTGACACACACACACACACACACACACACACACACACACACACACACACACACACACACACACACACACACACACACACACACACACACACACACACACACACACACACACACACACACACACACACACACACACACACACAGTGAGCAGAAGTCAGATCCAGTTCCTTCCGGAGGCTCAGGACGACCCCCAGAGGAGAAGACCTGACATCCGAAAAGCCAACATGATGCTCGGCTGGGAGCCGGTGGTAAGTGTGCCGCATGACACACACACACACACACACACACACACACACACACACACACACCACACACACACACACACACACACACACACACACACTACCTTGACAACCAATATCTGTCCTATTATTTGATGGTAGTTATGTTTCCATCTACCTGTTCATTTTAAATTTGCTCAACAAAAATGACTCACAAAGTGAAATTGGATGAAAATGTCATGTCAGTTATGATCAGGGCTGAAGTAGATAAAAGGTTTTACAAAGTGAAAGTGGAAAACAATTGACATATAAAATAAATATACTGTTGGTACTTGTCAATGTCTCTAGGTATGTACATGTAGCCCTGTAAATACAATGTCCTTTATTGTTATCTGTTGTTTTATGTTCATGTTGTAACCTACTTGCTGCCATGCTGGACAGGTCTCCCTTGAAAAAGAGATTGATGATCTCAATGGGACCATCTGGTTGAATACAAAAAATTATTAAAAGAAAAAAAAAAATCGCGGTATATTTTGTCAGTCTCACGACGGTATTGAGACATTTCTTTACCGCGACATTCGATATATCGTTACATCCCTAATATTTATATATCTGAGACCCATAATATATGCCTAAAAATAGCATGATAGGAGACCTTTAAAGGGAAGCACACTGGTTAAGTTGTCTGTGTGTGTGTCTCGTGTCAACAGGTACCTCTGGAGGAAGGCTTGAACAAAACCATCCAGTACTTCAGCCGGGAGCTGGAGCACCAGGCCAACAACCAGTACATCCCCAAACCTAAAGCCGCCCGCATGAAGAAAGGAAGACCCCGACACAACTGAGGAAGAGTTCCCCCCCCCCCCCACACACACACACACACACACACAGAAGTATGTTAAAAACTCCTCAGAGGACCCTCGAAGAGCGACTCTCTGAAACACACTGTTGAGAAAAGCACACATGTTGTGTCTCTTTTTTTTTTGAGAAGTAGAGACGGTTCTCTCTTTCAAAGTGTTGCGATGGAGCTGCACTGTGGGGGAAAGAGCTCTCCACACAGGAGCTCAAGTGTTGAAAGGACAAGTTTGAAGAAATCTGAACCCAGCCTCCCTTGTTTTTGTGAATTTTTTTGCTTTTTTGCTATTTAAAAATGCAGATGTGAGAATCATGCTTCATTTATTTTATCTGTTTTATGGCGTTTTGTCTGCAGAGGTGAACTACCTGACTGCTTTTCCACTGGAAGCTTGTGACCTCTCATCAGTGGCGTGTCGGCTGTTCAGAGCTCTGCAGGGCGAAGAATCAGCATCTTTACGTGTTTGTCAGAACATCATCGTGCTGTACTTTGTGAAAACTCATGTCAGGGTGTGCTTTATCAATATCCGATGAAGATGCTATTTTAATAAAATATTTCCAATATTTTGTGTATCACATCATTGTGTGTGTGTGTGTGTGTGTGTGTGTGTGTGTGTGTGTGTGTGTGTGTGTGTGTGTGTGTGTGTGTGTGTGTGTGTGTGTGGTGTGTGTGTGTGTGTGGTGTGTGTGTGTGTGTGTGTGTGTGTGTGTGTGTGTGTGTGTGTGTGTGTGTGTGTGTGTGTGTGTGTGTGTGTGTGTGTGTGTGTGTGTGTGTGTGTGTGTGTGTGTGTGAAAAAGCAGGACTTTTGCGACAGTCATGTCTTTATTTACAATAATGTAGAGATAAAAAGAGCTAGATATCAGATTTTAAAAAGTATTTCATAAAAATCAACTGCCTCATAAATAGGGCTGGGCGATAAATCGATAACATGAGATTGGATTTTGTCTGAGATTTTGGACATCATAATATCATATGTTTTCCCTGGCTTTTAAGGCGGCATTAAAGTAAAGTGGTGTCCTTTTCTCAATGTTTCTGATTGCTGTTTATGTATTCGCCTTTACCATTATGTCACCATTACTCATGATTACTTGTCAGAATTATCATCGTGTAAATTATCTGTGAAAGCCCTACAAAAACACTATCGATATCAAGGTCAAAATATAGGTAGGCTATATGATATTATTCATTTCGCCCCGCCCCAAATTGAGTTATTGCTGTCTTTGAACATTGCTCTATAAAAGTATGTGGGTAGAATATAATCGGTTATACTGTCAAAAGCAGCTGTGGAGAACTTGGTTATCGACAGCTTCATGCCACAGTTAATAGTAGTCGTAGTTGACATCGGCTCCGTGTCTGTAGGAGCTGTGGTCCCGGGTCCGATGGGAGCGTTCTCATCGTAATGGTGCTGCCGATCCTGGTCTCTGGAGCGACTCTGGTCCATCCAGTAGGAGAGGTCGGTCTCCAGCCTCTGTGGAGCAGGAAAACAACATGGATGTAAATCATTAGCATGCTCAGCCTCGACAAATGTGGAGCTAATGGACACGCAGGCAGCTGATAGGGATCCGCTGACTGTCAGCAGCCACAACTGTTGCCAATAGATATGCATGAAAGGCAAACTTTGAAAAGGCCACCGCTTTCACAGCTTTGGCCTTTTAATGAGCAACGGCAAATGGCACACTCGTACACGGCATAGTGAATGGGGTGTTGAGAGAATTACTGCTACGCTGGCTGAAATGGAAATGCTGTCAACTGTCAGAAAACGGTGGCTGTAAAGGGTAATTTTGTGCACTCTTCCTCCGTCTTTTCCTCTTCTGCTCTCTCCATTCCTAGCTGTCCCTGATGACTCCTAGAAGACGGCCACTGACCTGAAAGGAAACCGGCTCTGAAGGGAGGAACACGTTTGTGTGTGAGAGGGAATTCAGTATTCAGTTCCACATTTGTATTCATTCATGCAGTTATACAGCAGCGTTGTGAGGATGACCGCCTTTTGAAGAGATTATCCTTCACACTACTGTTTACACCACCTTCATGTTTTCTGTCCTCCACATATCTAAGAAATCTTCGGAGAACTTTTTAACTGTTTGTTTTTCTTTCTGTGTTTGTGTTTATTGCACAGCCCATCTTTTAATCCAGGTTTAAAACTCCCCTGAGAGTTCACACAGAAAAAAACAATCTGTAGTTTTTATTGAATGTTCATCTGAGCAAACAATCCCAAAAGTGTCAACAAATCTAGATTGATAAATCCTGTTTTTGTGCACAGACAACATGACAACCCCACGTATTTAAACTAGTAATAAGGGCACATAAATCAATATGAAGTGTCAGAAAAGATTTAGTTTCTCTTGTTGGACCCCATTGGTTAAAATTAGAAGCTGACAAAACAAATGATTTTGGGGGCTTTTTATTTCAATATAAAACGATACAAAGGGGTTTCAGCATGGGCGTAGGAAGCATCCTGAATGTGGGGGGGACATTTTTAACGGGTGGGGGTCCTCCCCCACGAAAACAAAAATAGATTTCCGGTATTCTGGATACTAAACCTTGAGTTTATGTTCTAAAACATAATATTTGGATTGTGTATCATATGTTGACGCCGGGCTGTGTTTCAAAGCACTTGACTACACTCTCTGCCATTGTGTGTAAATAAATTACAATGATTTGAGGGTGCATTGTGGATTTACAGTTCGAAAGTGAGCATAGCCTAGGATGTATGGAGTCAGATCAGTCTCAATATTAATAAATGCACACAAGGATTCACAAATGTATTTCGGGATGTTTTTAAAAAACATGTCTATGAAGTGTTTTGCTCAAAATACCAAAACAGATCACCCATTCTAGCCATGCCTCATATCCTTCCATTTCACTTCCTGTTTCAAAAGTGCTGATTTTGGGTATAAAGCTTTAAAAAAAAAAAAAAAGGAGAGGGCTGAGCTCATGCGGGAGATGCTACTGTCTAAACTAAATACTGCAGTGATGAAACACCATATCAAGGATTATTTCTGAAACAGTATGGAGCTCAAAGGCTTTCTCTCTCAGGTTAAACTTCTTCACACACATGCTCTGTGCAGTACAGGTTAGCTCGGAGTGTTAGCGATGCTAATGTAAACATGCACCGACCATATTACGTCCAAAACAGTTAGGCATTGTTTCTGATAGGGCCGTGGGTGTAAACCCAGCCTACATTTCCGATATTACGTCATATCGGACGCAAATCTGGATCAGCTCTGTTGTAGCCCCGTTTTTAGAGATTTGGGTACGGAGGAAAAGAGAGAGGGTTTTATTTTCTGACGCTGTGTGAGTTCCCCGACACACCGGGGACACATCTTTATGTATAAAAGACATCAAAAAGTGCATTTTGCATGATAGGTCTCCTCTAAAACAAATCCAGAGTTACGTTTTTCTGTACTTCCTCTAAGAAAAAAGGACAGTAAAAGAAGAGCTCTGTGGCTTCAGGCTTGATCGCCATTCAAATGACAGCGTTGGTTTTCCCCAAAAGTGGGCGGGGCCGTAAAGTGACATAGATGTTACTCTCATCTATGGACATCGATCGCCTACTGCTATATTTAACCATATCGAGCCCGATCGTCGATTTCCAATGATTTAATGTAATTGTTTGCCTGTCTGGCCATTGTAATCGGGCTCTTTGAAGATCTAAAAATCCACGGTTTTCTTACATTTCTGATCGGATTGGCAAAAACTTCAGAATTTGCATTGACTGCCATTCAAATGACAGCTTTGTTTTCCCCAAAAAGTGGCGGAGCCGTACTTTTTGCCCGGAAGTGACGCATGTGTTACTCTCATCTATTGGCAGCGGGTTTTTTTATTTTATTTGCAGTGTTTCGTCCATGCAGTGCTTTAAAGGTGGGGCAGGTAATTCACTTCAGAAACACTTTTTGTTATATTCCATGGAATGCTCTTAACATCCCGATAGCAATGAATACATGAAATGCTTTGACAATACATATACAAATATTTCATCTGTGGAAGCCGTGGCGCTGTAAAAAGCAAGTCCAATTATCTGCCTCGGCCCTTGGCAGATAATTGGACGGCCTACCTGCCTGTCAGCCTTACTCGAGCTTAGGTCGAGCTTACTCGAGCTGATTTCTCCATTCTTACCTACCCTACCTTTAAAGGTCCCATGTAATGGCCATTTCTTCTGATCATAATTCCATTGTTGAGGTCCCCCCCCCCCCTCCCTCCCTCCCCTCCCCTCCCTCCCTGTGAGCCCAGTGGCCGTCTGCGAGACAGCGAGACACAGCGAAACCCAGCCCGACCACACACGCACCCGCAGCCTGACTGGGAGTTTGTGTGTGTGCTCACACACCGACTCACACAGTCTCGGAGGAGAAATCGGCGGAGCTGCAGCTCCGTCTCAGGTCGGTTAAATGAAGTCCTTGCGTCCCTCACTTGCGTCGTTTCCCTGTGACTAGTCCCTCCCACCAGGGAAGCATGGAGGGACGCAAGGAAACCACGAGAAGCAGGGAAATTAGTTTTAAGAGCAATGGGACGTCCTTTCCTCCGGAGCGTCACGTGAAGCGACGTCCGTTTGTGATGACGCCGCATAGCTGTTCGTCTGACAGCAGCTCTGTCCCCGTTGTTTTCACAAACACCCCCGCCACACATTTACTGATACAAACATTTGTATCATCTGTTGTAGACCCCAATAAATCAAATCAAATAATAACTCATTCTCAAAAAAGATAAACGCCATTCTTAAAACGAACAATAGTTTGATTAATATTGATTAGAGTGCACAATAGAAAAAAAAATAATTGAGAGAAGAAAAAGAGATATGTTATCTATCAAAACCCAGTTAGATTAACATTAATTGGATTGCACACTTTGTTTGTTTGTGTGGATATGTAGCAAATTAACATTTTAATAGCACTTAATGACTGAATGGAAATGACAATAAATGAAAATGTAAAACGAAAAAAGCGATCATGAAAATGTTTCCAACAAATGAATAAAATGATTTTTGACCACTTTGTTGTTCAGATATATCACATATTTGTAACTAAATTATACATGAATTGAAACAAAACACGTATAAACTGAGGAGTGACTCTCGTGAGTTTCATTTATTTTCTTCACTCCGCTGGGAAACGGCTCTCATGTCAAGAACATAGATAGACTGTATAAATGGACGTAGGGTCCGTGACGTCACCCATAGAATTATGCAGAGTTGCCGTGAAGCCCTTAGTAGGCGGAGTCGGCCACTAACGGCTCAACAGTGACGTCAGAGTTCAACTCCCGCCTTCTCCAGCCTGCTCCAAATAAGGGCAAAGAGGCGGAGCCGAGGCGGAGCCGAGGCGGGACCTGCTGCCACCGAGCTAGAAGTTCCAGAGCTAGCTGAATCTACCAAGCTAAGCTAACATGCTCCCCATCTGCACGCTGCCGTCGCATTTTACGTTTCTAAGGTAAGCGGACATGAAACTATTCAGCAAAACTATAAATAATAATCTAAGTTATTGAGTTTTTAGCATAATACTTCAGAATCTTAAAACCCTTTAACGTTTGTATGCAATTGTGCTAAATTCAACACTGGAATCAAGCAAATATTAATATGTTTGCATGACATTAGTTATTTATATTTTGATATCACTTAACTATACGTTTAATACATTTAAGTCAAGCTAAGGTACATGTGATGGTAGCTAGTTAGTGCTCTTACCTGTGAGGCTGTATCATTAAAACTAAGTACCAGTTCTAGATCCTTGACTTTAGACAAACAATTCAAAAGACAAAATGTATTTAAAGACCAATCTTTATTTGAATGTGCCTCTTAACCTGAGATATTAGTTATACAGTAATAGTATTGACAATATAAAAAAACTGAGCAACTCAACAGTCAACTTTATGTTTCTTATTGTCTAAAGCATTTATTATTTTCATTTTCCCCCTCTCATATTCAGTGTGGACAGATTGAGACAGCATGGTGTCCAGAGAGCTGCAGAGACTTCAGGGAGAAACCTCCGTGTGATGGACGTCCAGTCTGTTGGTTTGGAGAGGACTGAGGGTCTTTCCTCTGCGAGGAGGACCAGGCCTAATGGAGGAGCCCATGCTGGGCAAAGCTGATACCAACTGCACAGGCCTAGTCTGTTACTTTATTTGACTAAATGTGTTTACTTATACATTTAATAGGTTTACACCTTCTGTCCATATGTGCTTTTTATTTAAAACATTTGATTAACTTTTGGTTCACATTTCAATCAATTGTATTTGTATTTGCACTCCTTTCGTCCATTATTCTTACTGAAAATGTTCACTCATGAAAAACATGAACAACCTAAGAAAGTAAGTTGTAAGAGTAGGTCAAAAAATATAACGATAGTAAATTAAAAAAAAAAAAAAAAGTATTTAAAGGAAGCTATTTAGCGTTACTAAAAATAATAAAGACAAGTACACCAAATTTAAATTGTAATATACAAAATAACCTAAAAAACTAAGGACAATGAATATATGACAATATAGAAGAAGTACTCGTATAGCCTATTGTATTTAAATGAAAGTAGAAGTACCACAGAATAGGATAACTCTTATAACACAGACATAACTCTGCACGTGTGTTTCTCAAGTAACATTTGAAAAGTATGAGAAAGAAAATATACTTATAGTACCAAAAGTAAAATTACTCATTATGAACACAGAACGATTTCACAATTATTGATGCTTTAATGTGTTTACTTTTTGTATGCTGCAGAGTAGCTTGTGAATTTACTTCAGGTGTCAATCAATAAAGTCTTATTTAAGTGTTGATTATATTTCATTTCATTCATCCAAATCTGCCTAGTAACTAAAGGTCAAATTTAAATGTAGTGGAGTGAAAGTACACCATTTATATCTGAATTGTAGCGGAAATTCTACTTAAGTACAGTATGGTAAATGTACTTAGTTACACACCAATGGGGATTTCCGATCTTTGTTTGAGTTTTTATGTTAAGTCAATTGTTACATTCTCGTTTCCTTAAGATCCTGTGCAAGCTGCTGTCACTGGAAACGTCTGAGAGGAGAGGGGACAAAGAGCTGCAGTTTGAAACACCATACTTCTTCACAGGTAATAAATAGGCTTTTAAATCATATGTAACACACTTGAAACAACTTTCTGTCTTCTTTTATTTCTATACAGTCTCAAGGTTTATTGCGAGGGTAAATGTAGTTTATTTCCTTTTTATATGTAGCGCTGGGGGATATGGAGAAAATCAAATGTCACAATATTGCAACGATATTGTAGAGTTGGTTGACCATAGGTGCTTAAACAAAAATAATGCTATAAGCTATATTTTATAGGATGATCTCAGTTTAAACATATGTATAATGGATATAATGACAAAGTGCAAAAATAAAAAATCTTTAAAATGTTTTCTAAGTTCAGGAAATTACATAATATGACTGTAATGCAGCCTTCAATACCAGGAAGAAAGAACTCTTGCCATATAACAATATCCAAAACCTAAGAAGACAATATCTATTCTTCTATTGATATCTATTGTTTTGGTTTAAGATTCAACGATTCAAAGGCTGTTGTCAAATGCACAATGGCTACAGCAACATTTTGGCAATTAAATCTTAAGTCCCATGTTATCCAACGAACAATATTCTTTACACACAAAAGCAAATAAAACCGTGCAGACCCGATGGTATTTATAAAAGAGAAGCTACATGGACAAGCGAAAATAGGTGAAATATATTTTGAACGACAATCTTTAACACTAAAATATATACATGTTTTTTCACATTGATCTGCTTGCACTGCGGCAGCTTGTTTAATGTGCCTCAGTAGTTTTCACACTTCACAATTCCCTCGTTTCAGGTAACTAAACCAGTTTCATGGACGATTACATTCTCTGTCTTCATAATAAATGCAAATGTGAATAGTTCAGCGGACCAACACACATCGATGTATATTTACAGTGACCTCCTTCCTGCTGCTCTCCTCTCCCAGCGGAGCTATACTGTGAGGAACGATTTTTCACACATATATTTATACATGTTCTTTAAGTGTGCAGTAATGAGTTGTACTTCTACCCAGCTGACAGATAACCCTGTTCTGCCATTGACCGTTTTCTCGCAGCTCAAATCCCTCGCCAAATCTAGGGCACGTTTACTTCAGTCCTGGAGGGTTTCATGAATCTCTTGTTCAGAAAGGTTGCAGTAAAACATGAAGCTGAGTTTGTATCTAAGCCTAAACAATAGACTAGGACCCTGAGAATATGCACAGAAATCCAATCCCTATCTTTAGGTGAACTTTGTCGAGGCTTAAGCTACAAACTTCTGAACTGCGTTGGAAAGAGTGGAAGGATATAGGTGTGTTTGTTGTGTTGCAAATGAGCTTTTACATTCCTCCAACAGCCATCCTTATAAAGTAATAAATCCCCCGACAGCATCAATCTGCTTATCACTGTTGCATGCATTGACTCCAGGGATGCCAATGTTGGTGGTTCCAGATTTAAAGAATCGTGTCCGACTGATTCAGTGATCGTGACTTTTACTCTTTTTTTTTTATTTGAGTGGTTTGTCTCGACACATATTTATTTGATGGATTGATGTGCATTTTTGTAAAGACATTAATGTCCCTCCTCCGGATGAATTATGGGACATTAGAACTGATGTTGAACACAATAAAACAAGACATTTTTCTTCATTGTCATAACCCAACCTGTTTGTGAGTGACAGCTCAAATGCCTTTATAACGACACACATCGTAAAGGGGTTTTCTTTGTTATTTAATGTCTTTTCCCATTTATATTGTGTGTGATTTGCATAACAGCATTTGAACAATAATGGTATACTTGTATTTTGTAGATGTCTTTGTCTTACCCTCCTGGTACTGAAGATTGTATTTGAGCTCTTATAAATATGTAGTTATAAAAGTATGTTCGTGGTGATGGATTTCCTGTGTCTTGTCAAGTGTTTGAAGGTTTAGTGTCCGACCAAATTCGAATGAATAAAATAGACAAGTTATTAAAATGGATTCTCTATATTAAAGATTAGCATTCAAATACATGTGATGCATTGAAAGGCAAGCATCAGGGATGTTAATCATACTGAAGGGAAGTCAATTGGATACAATGGAGAGGCCTTTCATTCCTGCTCTTTTGTATATCAATGAGTCCATGCTGTCGCCTGAAGTGTGTGTGGCTGCATTTCCCTTGTCATGTTTCTAACCTCTGACATGCTCCCACTTACAAAACCACACACTCGTCATGCAGTTTGAGGTGTTCTTAATTGCTAATGCTTGGAGATCTACAACAACAGCACAAGTCCAGAGGGTGGCCTTCAACATCTGGCCTCGTATGATAAAATAAAAAGTGACATTTTAAATGCAAAGCAGAATAAAAGCAGAAGGTTGAGCTCACCTCTGAGTGCAAAGAGTGTCAGCAGGACAGCCAGCCCCATCAATCTCACACACAGCCGCTGGGATGCCATGTTGTACTCCAGTCTTTGCAGATTAAAAGCAACAACTGTGCAGAAGAGCTGCTGCACAACCCGAGGGGAGAGTTGGCCGACTCCCAGACTCTCCCGATGGAAACGGCATCTGGGGCAGGAATGCCGTTTAGCTCCTCGCCTACGGTCAGGAACAAGTCTGCAGAGGATTTTCCGCTTTCAAAAGGGAAAATGTCAAGTGAATCCCAGGTACTTTCCCATCTCCAAATATACAGTCCAGGAGCAGCTGTGAGGAGGAAGAAAGAGCAGATTCCTATTCCTGAATGTGGCGTATAAAGCAGGGTTTCTTTATGAGGAGATAGTCAGGATTTGTCATTTCTGAAAAAGCCTCCTGCTGTATAATGGGTTCAAAAACAATACTCTTTTCACTCAGGATAACAATTAATACACTGTCTGAGGTGAATTTCTCGTAACCCAACTGTTCATCAATTTCACAAACTGTCTCTGCAGTATTTATTACAGCCATTTTATAATTTCACCTTAAAATCACCTAGACATCTGAAGACAAGCTTCTTTATATTCATTTCAATAAATAACACTTAGTGGCCAACAGGGAAATATCTGATTCTATTTCCTCTTTTGTAAAACATACATTATTCTGCCTATAGTTCTTAGGAAGGAGAGTGTCCTCAGCGGGGGTCTCATTATAGGCTTTTATAAGGTAACTGCTGCAGTGAGTTTAACAATGATGGTGCAGGTACACGAAGGCAGCAGGAATGTAATTGTTTCAGTCCGCGGCTCCGGTTTAACTTCCCTCCTCAGGTCATCAATGAGACTTTATGTCAGGAAGTGATCCACGTTCCCGTCGTTTCCTTTCTATTTACACTGTGCACTTTGTCTTACCTCGGTATGTGATCACTCTTAGATGTTGGTGTTTCAATTGAATGAAAACTGTTCGTTGTACACTGAAGTCAAAAACGTTTTGGATTATTTGACAGTATTCATCGAGTCTTCTTGTCATCCTTCTTAATCATCTTCATATTCCTCCTCCTCATATTCCTTCCTTTTTCTTTGTCTTGCTTTCTATGCCACAAAAATAGCTCTCTTAACATGCAAAGTATCCATCTTTAGTTTGTAGCAGTTTAGTTAGCTAGCCTATTGCACAGAATGCTAACATTAGCCACCTTAAGCTAATGGACCAAGTATGGCTGCAAAACTGCATCACATAGAGCAGAGTGTGTTTTATTTCTTATGAATTCAAGGTGTTTGTTTTAATATTATTAATTAAAAGTTATAATCTCACTTGAATGGCTGCTGTCACTGTGTTTATCAGCCTTTCAAAGCAGCCCTTCATTCACTAATCAGCCTTCCATATTGAGGGACAAACCTTTACTTTATAGAGCGTTCATTCAGAAATTCTCTCTCATCTGGGCTCCGGATTGTATTACAGTGTGTGTGTGTGTGTGTGTGTGTGTGTGTGTGTGTGTGTGTGTGTGTGTGTGTGTGTGTGTGTGTGTGTGTGTGTTGGATAGGGAAAGTGTTTGGTTTGGATCCACAAACAGCCTCTCTCACAGGCTCAGCAGGAATGCAGGAAACCCTGGCTGACGATTCCATTGCTTTCATATTGGATTTGGAGAGAAGGTGAAGTGAGGGACATTAAAGAGAGGTGAGAGGCAGACGGACACATCTACAGCACAGTGTGACGAAGAAGACTTTCGGAACACTTGTTTGCTCATTGCATCTTGTTTGGTCATTGCATCGTTCAGGCCTGAAAGTTGTGACGCCTGCATTTCTCACACACACATGCACATTGGCCATTGAAGGGAAAAGAGGTCAGATGATTCTCAAGTGCTTCGAACTGAACAACCTTGATTCATGGCCGATGTTCTGGAAAGCTCAGAGAAAGGCAGGCCTCCGCTTTCAGACAAGCCATAGAGAGGATTTACCTTTTGCTTTTAATCATTAGATTAATCGCTTTTTCTTTTGCAAGCAGAACTATGAAAAGAACATCCTGAGTTATAGTTTGTTGACACAGATAGGTAGAATAAGTCAACCTATGTGCTTGTGTTTGTTTGGTTTGCCAGGACTAAGGATTTAAACACCATAATATACAATATATATATATATTCAACCTCCCTCCAAAGTGATTTCTCTTGTCGCACCCTCCATCTTTATCCTCTTACTTGACTTGAGTGTTGTCGGATTTATTTTGCTGTCTCAAAACACAGTCAAATTCAGACTATAATGAAAGCTTCTTCCGACCTGAAAGATGTGCAGACTTTTATTTATTTGTGCATTCAACATGGATGTCCTGAGGCCCTGGGACACTTTAACAGCTCAATAAAACACTGGTCCATCACCTTTATATGTAGTTATATACAAAGGGGGGAAATGATTACAGTTTTTCTCGATTGCTAACACAACAATTCTACATAAAACACAATTATTTTAACTGACACTCAAAGAGCAAAACATCGGCTCAAATCTCCAAAACTCTAAACACGTTTTCAGCTTTTCACACAATTTGCAAATCAACATGGCACTTTCTGCAAACCACTGCACACGTTTCTCCACGTAAGACACAGGAATCTGACATAAAGTCACGTATTAGCAGGTTTAAAACACTGATATTCAAAATGCCTCACACATGGACCAATGATCAAGAAACACGTTCCACCTGACCAAACACCTGATAGCATCATTGTTGGCTCATCAATCAGGATGTTAGCACTATACAAAGACCACAGGTGAGAAGTTTCTTACAGCAACAATGGAAGCCAACATGGAAGGAAGAGCAAGAGGAAGAGGTGGGGTGAGAGTGAGAGGAGCAAGAGGAAGAGCTGGGTGAGAGTGAGAGGAGGAAGAATGAGAGGTAGAGGTAGAGCTGGAGGGAGAGGACGTGGACAAAGAAGAATACTCTCTAATGAAATGAAATGTTATCAACCATGGTGTGTCGATGAGAGAGGCTGGACGGAGGGTTCAGCCTAATCTAAGCCGATGTACTGTCGCCTCTGTAATCCGGACACTTAGACTTGAAAACAGGATAGTTAGTTTCAGCTCTGCATAATTCATGATATATCAGTGCTTATATCTGTTGTGTGAAACGTATTTACTTAATTACTGTAATTGAATTGTTGGCATGTTGCAGACTATAACTGTACAAACATCCTGCACAATGTAGCCTACTATGGTAAAGTTACTTTTATGCAACACACACACTGACAGTCCACTATACCTTTGTTGTTTATCTGAAGGACTGAGAAACAAAGAGGTGGAAGGCTAAGGATTTCCAATGAGACAGGAAGCAGCAGTTACAAACTGGGTTTTGGCAAACAATGCATCACACTTAGAGAGATCCGAAGCATAGCAGCTATGTGCTGAGATGCATGTTGCACAATGTTAGTTTTGAATAAAATGTGATTTATTTCATCAACTCATTTGTATTTCTTCATTTACTGTATTTCTGTAAACTCAAGCAATCTTTCTCTGCAGAACCCTCTCTGTACAGAGCACAGCCCATAACAGATGAAAGTGCTTTAGAGTATGCTCAGCAGTGTGTAGCTGGGTGGTCAGACCATCTAGTGTTATGAATGAAGTGTGTTATATTTGGTGCTAAAGTTTGCATTTGGTAAGTGTTTATGTAGTTTTGAGGGCAGTTCTTCACTTAGCAGGAGAAATGAGGAGTTTTGTACTTTGGGTGAGTGGTTTTGTGAATTGTGTTTAGTGTTCTGAGAAACTGAGCAATTTAAAAAAAATGTGTGTTAGCAATCGAGAAAAACTGTAAACATAGATTATTGCTGATGGTAGTTTTTAAAAGTCACACTCCCCCCAAATCCTAAATAAGTTCAAGCATAAAAATAGACCTAACATGTCAAAGAGTTGCATACTGTTCATGTATTTCTCTGTGATACAAAAGAAATGATTGCTCATTCATAACCCAGACTGCATGAGAACAATTGTGTTTTTTATGGTAATTTCCATTTTTTTAAATAAAGCCAAGCACAGTTTGTGACAGAAGGGAATTCTTCTTCAAATAAGTTAATATTTCATAACGTTAGTGGGAAATAAAGCAAATAGCCTGTAATCGAAGAAATGTGAAAGAAATGAGAAATTGTCATTTTTTAAAAGCATTTTTAATAAAAACCAAAGGTTCAAATATCATACATCTCCAAACTTCTCTTAGTTTTAAATGTCTCTCTCCCAGAGTGAGAAATGACCTCTGCCTGCCCTCACACCCTTAAATCTCCCTCCTCTCACTCCTCTCCCTCCTCTCACTCACTCCTCGAGGTCAGACTCTGGACTGTCGTACCCCAGCTGGGTTGCGATGGGGAAGTGAGCCCAGAAGGTGTGAGCCCGGTCCTGGACCCCCCGGTGATCCCCCTGCGCCCGGAGCTCCTCCAGCCAGCCGATGAAGTCTGAGGACCACATCCCCCAGTAGGGGAGACTCCTCCTCCCCCTCTCCCCCCGGCTGCTGGCTGACTCTCCCTCCTCTGCAGCTGTCAAAGAGGACAGACGCAGAAATCATACGTGAGCACACCTGGTCCATCATTTCAGATTTCCTGAATATCACAGAGTCAAGTCCATTCATGTGTAATGGTGTGTGAGTCGCTCACATACCTGAAGCAGGCAGGACTGAGAGGAGGAGATAATGGAGCAGCACGAACACCAACACGGCCCGCATGCTTTCAGGAACTTTCAAGAAAGAACACAAAAGGACCTGTAAAAAAGAAATTTGTTCTACAGGCTGCGGGAGAAATATGTGTGAATACAGGTGCATAGAGAACATCAGCAGAATGTGGGGCAGGAATGTAATTCTCTGCAGGCCACCGCAGCATTTAAAACTCTTCTCCATGAGGAAGAAAAATCCATGAGTCAAATATCATCAAATATCATCTTCTGTTTAGTCTTACCGGATCAGCAGGAGATTACGCCACCTGTCCCTCGTCCTTCTGTCTCAGACTGAGCTGTGGATGAGGACTGCATCTGGACTAGAAATACTCAGGAAGGCGGACATGTTTGTTTTTCCCATATTGCCTCCGTAC